CATCCTCCTGGCACCCACCTTTAAGTTATTTAGTAATGAGGTTCCCTCTCAGTCTTCTCTAGACTAAACAGGCCCAGCTCCCACAGTCTCTCCTCACATGAAAGATGCTCCAGACCCTTCCTCATCTTTGTGCTCTCCGCTGGAGAGTAGCTCCTTGTCTTTCTTGTACTGAGGAGCCCAGAACTGGACACAGCACTCCAGATGTGGCCTCACTAGGGCTGAGTACAGGGGCAGGATCACCTCCCTTGATCTGCTGGCCACAGTCTTACCGATGCACGCCCAGGATACCATGGGCCCTCTTGGCCGCAAGGGCACACTGCCGGCTCATGGTCAAATTGTCACCCACCAAGGCTCCACAGTCCTTTTCAGCAGAACCCAAGCCGCGCACCCACAGCTCCCCCGCCCGCCGCACCCACCACGGGCTCGCCCCACCCACCACGGGCTCGCCCCAGAGCGCAGCGAGCGGCGGTGGCGCCCGGCCCGGCCCGGCCCCGCCCGCAGGCGCCGCCCCTTCCTGCGCCTTGGCGGTGCCTCCCGTGCTCTCCCGGCGGTCCCGCACAGGCGGCGCGGTTGTGTTACGGCCCCGCGCCCGCTCCCGGACCGCGGCCGGGCGCTGTGCGGGCCATGCTGCGCGGGACGGCGGCGGCGGTGGCCTGGCGGTGCGGGCTCGGCCCCGGTCCTGGCCCCGTCCCCGGCCCGGCGCAGGCGGCGGTGCGGCGGTGCTGTGGTGCGGCGCGGCGGCGGGAGTGGGCGCCGCCGGCGGGGCACGACTGCGGGATCGTGGCTTACAACAGCCGGAGCCGGAGCAAGGAGCCGCTCGTGCTGGCCACGGAAGGAGTGGCGACCTGGTAGCGCCTGGCGGCGGGCGGGCGTGGGGGTGACGGGGTGACGGCCGCAGTTTGTGTCCGGAAATGGTTGCCGTGCCCAGTTCTGGGCTCCTCAGTGCAAGAAAGACAAGGAGCTACTGAAGAGGGTTCGGCGGAGAGCACAAAGATGAGGAAGGGTCTGGAGCATCTTTCATGTGAGGAGAGACTGTGGGAGCTGGGCCTGTTTAGTCTAGAGAAGACTGAGAGGGGACCTCATTACTAAATAACTTAAAGGCGGGTGCCAGGAGGATGCTGCCAGGCTCTTTTTGGTGGTGCCCGGAGAACAGGACAAGGAGCGATAACCATAAACTAAAACACAAGAAGTTTCACCTCAACATGAGGCAGAACTTCTTTACATTGAGGGTGGCAGAGTGCTGGAACAGGCTTCCCAGGGAGGTTATGGAGTCTCCCTCTCTGGAGACACTCCAAACCCACGTGGACATGTTCCTGTGTCACCTGGTCTAGGTGACCCTGTCTTGGCAGGGAGGTTGGACCAGATGATCTCCAGGGGTCCCTTCCAACCCTAACGATTGTTTGCCCCCTCTCCGCAGGTACAGCTGCGGGCCGACGGTGTATGACCACGCACACCTCGGGCACGCCTGGTGAGTGCGGCGCGGGGCTCCAGGCGGGAGCCAGGCAACGGGAGTTCGGGGCATCCCCAGTCTCCGGGGTGTGTCCGGGTGACGGAGTCGGGACTGGGACACCAGGCCCGGCCCTTCATCTCCTGCGCCTTGCAAAGGGCAAAAGTCTGTTTGCTACGTATTTTTTCTTCTTGAGCTGGGGGAGCCCGTAAAGGGGCTGTTGGTGCCAAAGTGTGTATGTTGGGAAGAAGTGTTAGAAATGTGCACAGTTTGTCTGGGTAGGGTGAGTTGTTTCAAATCATATCAGCATAACATGTCCTCTCTTGCAGGGGAGTTGTGATCCTGGAGCAGAGTCTCTCAGCAATGTAAAATGATAGTTTCACCTCAAATTTGGTTTGGGCACTCTGTGGGCACTAAGGAAAAGCTGTGCAGAGCTGAGTACTGAAAAGGTACTTTTGACGTTAGCATCAATTCTTAAATCTCAGAAAGCCCAGGTAGCTGAAAGGCCTTTTTGCATAGTAGCAGTTCTGTGGCTTACTATGTTTAAAAATAAAAAAAAGATCCAGAACAACACATTTTCTCTGTAGTTCATTAGGATCATTACAATAGTAAACCAGCTTCATTGTAAGTAGCTGTCAAAAGGTACTTTAAATGCACCAGAGCAGGTTGCTGCTGGTTGTTTTGAAAGAACATGCCTGATGAATAGACATGCCGGGTGTCTGCTGTTCCTATGAAGCTGAGGGGAACTGCAGCAGCTCAAGATGCTCTTGAACTTCTGTCTCCTCATTCTTAAAAAACTAGATGTGTTGGGCTCCTCGGAAGAGCAGGGGTTTCTCAGATAGTTGCCATCTGTATGAAGATCAGATATTGTACATTCCAGTAATTGAATAATTCCTTTTAATGTAGGGGATTTCACAGCTTCTGGTCCTATCTCAACTTCATTCAGAAACTCATGTTGAATTCTGCTCAGTGTTGAGCCATCACAGTACTGCACAACTGCTGCTTCGTTCTCTGAAAGGGAAGACTTAAAATTCCAGTCCGTAGTGGGTTGACCCTGGCTGGATGCCAAGGTACCCACCAAAGCCACTCTGTCACTCCCCTCTGCTGCTGGACAGGGGACAAAATATAACATAGGGTTCATGAGTTAAGATAAGGACTGGGAGAGATCACTCAACAACTACCGTCACAGGCAAAACAGACTCGAAATGGGGATACTAATTAAATTTATTAGTAACCGAATCAGAGGATAATGAGAAGTAAAATACATCTTAAAAACACCTTCCTCTCACTCCTCCCTCTTTCCCAAGTTCTACCTCCTCTCCCCCAGTGGCTCAGGGAGACAGGGAATGGGGGTTATGCTCAGTTCATCACAAGTTGTTTCTGCTGCTGGATCTAGAGCACAGTGTTTATAGGGGTAGAGAATTTTACCCTTTGGTCTTGCAGCTCTCTGTGGCTTTTAAATGTCTGTTTTTGTCAGTGGTTCTCCTGCCTTCAGACTCATTTGGTTAAAGGAGGGAGTACAGAGGCGTTGCTCACTCTGCCTCTTCTCTTACCCATCTTTCCTTATCTTGTGTCCAAACATCAACTTTAAGCTTTCCATACGTGAAGGTTTGCCATACATCTGTGTCACCTGGGTTTGACCTGGGTTTTCACTTGCTGATTTAAGAAAAAAGAGTTAGTGCTGAATATTGCCTTTGGTGTATCATGCAGATACACCATGTATTATTGAAATGCATGCTGCTGATGGGGGCTCTACAGGCAGGAGATGCCCTGGGAAATAGTGTGAAGTCAAATGCAGTGGTGACCATTGGTGCTGTGCCACTCTTGTCAAATACCATTGTTTTGTTGTACCCTTGCAACATGTTGTCTTCTCACTAGAATTCCCTTTTTCCTCCTTCTTCTTACATTTGGCTTGTGGCAAGCACAACAAATGCAGTAGGTAATAATGCAGAAATGAATAATGGAAAAGAGCTTGAGATCCTTGAGAAGAATTTGAAAATAATGACATTACTTCTTCACCTCCTCCTTCCCTTCCACAAAGAGTTCTTATCTTTCTAAATAATCCAACTTTTTCTAGTATGTTGTACTTCCAGTCTTAAAAGCAGGTGCTCTGTATGCCTCCATATGACATCCAACACCCCATTCTATATAAAGAAAAAGTAAGACAGGAAAATAATATTATTTTTTCCCCTCATTTCTAGGCCTGACCTTGATTGTACTGGTTTGAGCTGTAGCCTGGTTGGCATCCAGGTTCCTGGCTTGATGCTTGGAAATAAGAGTAAAATCAAGCATGAGAGGACATTTCATTCAGTCCCTTGTATCTGCTCTGCCACACTCTGATTTTGTCTGTCTTTGTTCTTTTTTTTTTTGTCTTTTCAGTCCTGAAGTGGTAAGGACTCTGGTTTCTGAGATGTCAGGAGATCCGCTCTGGCTCTTGCAGTATTTCTTCCATCAATTCAGTTGGAAGATCAGAGGAGCAGATCATTTGTATCTGCTCTGGGAACAGTGACTACAGGGCTGTTTAATATCAAGCTTTTGATGCTGACATTGTTCTCTGAACAGGATCCAAAGACCAATTTAATATTCTTATGGAATTGTGTCACCACATTAGATGAACCTTATTCCCACTGAGCTGCTATTCATTAAAAACTATCTCTCTGGCAGCAAGGCTTTCAAAAGGTGTTTTTTCAACGTGGGCGTGGCACAAACAACAACAACGAAAATACTTTTCTTCAATGATATATTACATCCATAAATCAGTACCTTGGTGCCACCTAGCACGTGCAGCTAAGGGAAAGGGTGCAAATCTGTTTCTAGTGTTTGGTTACACTTCTTTGCTCTGACAGCCATGGCATTGGCAGTTTGTGTGGTACTGCGTGTGAAATGGGAGCCTGTGGGTCTGTGAGTCTCCTTGCTGGCTTTGGAGAAAACAGAGCCCAAGAAGGTTGAGGGTTCTCATTGCCTTGCAGGGCAGAGCCGGAGTTTCTAGGCACCTTCTAGTATCTCACCTAATAACTCAGTTTTACTCAAAGTGTGTTTTGAGAATTACAGATGGGGAGTCTGTGAGCAGAAGGAGCTGCAACAGCCCTGTAAAGCTTGTACATACATTGATCTATCAGCATTAAATACTCTGTTTTGTGACAAAGAACATGAATAATTTTGAGAATAACTTCTATTCTCAAGTGTAAGTAAAACAACCCACAGAGCTTTTAGTCTTTGCTATCAGGAAAGATCTGTGACGGTGTGTGAATTAAATAGTTTATTGGTGGCTGGTAGCTGTTGTTTTTACTCAACCCTAAGCAAAGTTCATTTGAATCCTGCCTTATTTCTCTCCGTTCTTCTGCCACATGACTTTTCAAAACCTGTTAAAATACACAAAGCCTGAGGGATGTATTTCAAGAATACCTGATCATTGTGTCCTAGTTCATACTATTCACTTAGAATCTCTTGGCTCACATGTGGCTTGTGATGCTCTTCAGTGCTTGAATAAAGAGATACAACAAAAGAAGACACTCAGAAAATTTGATGTAATGTGTCACTAATGCCAGAAGAGGGTAGGCCAGTTCAAGGGAAATTTCCTTGACACTTGTGCAGGTGGTAACTGGTTTTGGGAAAATACTTTATACGCTGAAGATCTTTTTATTGCAAGTGTTGGGGTATTTAAATTGTCCCAGTGGCTGTTAGTTCTACTGGTTATTTTTGTTTAGGTTTATTCTTACTAGTGCATGTTTAAAAGGTCTTTTTTTTTTCTTCCAGCTCCTATGTTAGGTTTGATATAATTCGAAGAATAATGACTAAGTTTTTTGGAATTGAGGTTATCATGGTGATGGGAATCACAGACATAGATGACAAGATAATAAAAAGATCCAATGAGGTAGGTGTTTATTACAGTCTTTGACTCTAACTTTCGGTATTTTCTAAGCTATGTACACAGGAAAATTAACTTGGGTTTGGGGTTCTTTTGTTGAATCGTATTTGTTTTAATTAATAGATAATAGATGTTGAGATTTCTGGTCCCCTAGCATGGCTGTAATAGGGCTGGGAGTGCAGAGGGCTGGGCGTTGAGAGCTGTGTGTAGGTTAATGGGGGCAGAGTTGTGTGAGGAGAGAGGCAAGGCAGGAGGGCTGCCTTACAGCACCTGTGGCTGGGATCCTCCTGCCTCCCTCTGCCTGGGAGGCTGGCGGGGAACAGAAATCCTAGGTGAATCCTCAGCACAGTGAAAGTTAAATTGTCCCAAAACTTAGCACTCAGGGGGCTTCTGGCTGAGTCCTGGAGAAGCATTGTGTGCTGTCAATCATTAAAGGAAGTATATAAAGCCACTGCCTGCGGCTGAGGGCAGTTCCTGAAAGGTGCTGAGCACCATCTAGCTGCCATTTCAGCACCTTGGAGATCTTTATCAGGCTTGTCTGTGTTTGACACTTACAGGAAAGTTAACTGAGTGTAGGGGTAAGTCTTGGTAAGACTGGGGCTGTAAATAATTCTGAGTTGGATTTTAATCTGACCTTTTTTACCGGCTGAGTTTGGTGAATGATTATTCCAGTTATTTTTTTTTATTCTTTTAAAAACACTTTTTGAACCCTGAAGCACTAAGAATGTATTCTGTGTTTTATTCTGTGTTTTGAATATTTTGTTTTCTTTGTTTTTAGAATCCAAAACTCATGTTGTCAGGATCATAAGTGAATGTATTGGATCAAATTGCACTTGCAACTTTTAGATAGTTTCTTGGTGCCAGAGAATTTGACAGCTGTCATTTTTATTTAATCTTTAACAGTTAATTTTGCAGTTAAATATAAGGCACTGCATTCAAATAAATACTAGCACACCACTCACATAGAAATACATGTGTGTTCCCTTAGTCTATTTATTTGCAGTTTTCTAAGGCAGTAAGCAATTTAAAAAGAAACAAACAACAACACCACCCCCAAAATTCAGGCATTTTAAATCTGTATGTGTACATTTTAATTTTTTCCTTATTGTCAGAACATCTTGGAGATTTCATGTTTGAGGAGGGGGAAGTGACATGTTGTTCTTAAAAGAAGTTGTGTTCATTTACTGCATTCTTTGGTTTTATGAAGTAATAGTTTTGTGGCTTTTTTGGTGACTTTTTGAAATGCCTGCCCATCCATTTTGTTTGGATGGCCAAGGCCTCTACCTCACTAGCCTGCTTTTGTTGGAACCTATGTACCTTAAGCATTACATTGGTAGAATCAACATGCCTAAGCTTGTTCTTCATCCTCTAGTGGCGTTCATCTGGAGGAAACGTGAAAGTTGGGTATCTAGTCTATGATGAGCATACTGCATGCCCTCAGTGGTCCTTTGAGAGTGAGATTACCCTCTGTGTGTTGAACATCTGTCTGGATGGGAGGAATTTCCCCATCTTCTTTCTGTAGGCACCTTTTTTTCTCTGTTGATCAAAGAAGCAACTGAGATGTCTAGAGAGATGAGTCCAGTCATTGGGGTCTGGAAGAGCACAAGGGTGCTGGTCTGTAAGCATATCTTTGTTTTCCAGTGCTGAGCATCTTCCTTATTACATTGCTGGATAAGCATCTGAACTGTCTTCACCAGAACTCCTGCCTTGTCCAGGAGCTTGTCCAAATGGTGGTAGCCACCCGCGCTCTGAAAATCAGAACCCATAAGGATGCTCCAGTAATGAATTGGAAGTGATGAAATGGGATTTATGTTGTTAATGATCCAGTTCAGCTAGAGAGGCTGACAGTGTGTTGTCTTCTTCCCAGTAGTTTATTCTCAGAGAAGATGTAAAAGCATGCATTTGAAACACTTTGATACCTGCTTGCTAGGGCAGGCTTTGCTGTTATGCATCTTTCAATACCCGGTCTTTTCTGAATATTTGAGAAAAGTACCTTATCATGTACAAGTTTCCTTTCCTTTTGGGTTGCACTTTCTCGCTACCTCTGCAAAAGGATCCTATTTCTGTCCCATGAATGAGAAATGCAGAGAAAGTGCTTGAGAAACGTCGGACTTGGCAAAGCGTGGGATTGACTTTCAGTATTGAGTTCTATGAGTACCCACGATCTGCTGAAATAGCTTGTTTTTCTTAATCACTGAAAATTAATATCTTGTCTCATTCTGCAAGTCTCTGATCTATCTTTCTGACATATAGGTGGTATCGGTGTTTCCTGCCAGTAAGTTGAATGATTCCCATGTCCTGTGTAGTGTAGTATATTTTGTCACTGGGAATGGAGGACCCTCTCAAGAGGAAAATAATGAGAGAGGGAAGGAGTTTATTATTTTAGTCTTTGCTTGCTTTTCTCTTAAAAGATATATATTAATATTTTGGAAATTGAGAAGCGTAAATGAAATACTGCTTTTAAGCTATTTATAACTTACATCTTTTCCTTGTGAATGTTAGATTAATAAGCCTTTCTGACTCTACCTTGGGGGCTCTCCAAGTCTTCCAATTAGCTACTGATAAAAGATTGCCATATTTTATATTCTTATTCTGATTTATGACTTACTAATTTATTTCTGTCTTTTTCAGATGAATGTATCGCCCATAGCTCTTGCTCGTTTTTATGAAGAAGACTTTAAACAAGATATGGCTGCCTTAAAGGTACAAATACTCAAGAATCTAAATTGAGGAGTATTTCTAAGCAATTATTTTGGTAAGGAATCTGATGCTGAGAGTCTGACCTGAAAAATAAATTTGTTGCTTGGAAACTGAGTACTGATTTACTTTTTTATTTTTCTGGAAAGACACTGTATACCTTTTGACTAAGGAAGTGTGGGGGAGGAGCAGTCCTGAGTTTTGGAATGAACAAGTTAAATTTCTTTAGGAACAATTTTTTCTCACATGCAGTAGAACCTTGGTTCACAGATGTTACAAATTTACTATAATGCAGGAATAGCCTGATTGAAAGCATAGGAAATATTGAATCTTCTTTAATTGACTTCAGGTAACTTTGCTTCTTTTCCAAAATGCTTTCCAGAGGCAGGGAGTAAGCCACTGGGAAAAACTGCGGTTTTTTTGCCACCCCTCAAATATTTTTTTTGTTTATGTGTATTGTTTTAAATGGTGCTTATGATCTTTTTATGATACTCGCAGCTTTTTTTTTTTAAAGATAAAATTGAGGAGAATATTCTTTGAAGTTTGTTTCTTAGAGTGAAGGGACTCATCAGCATTGTGCTTCATACAGATTAACGAGATGTTACTCTTTCTTTAAGGTCCTCCCTCCTACAGTATATATGAGGGTGACTGACAATATTCCTCAGATAATTTCCTTTATAAAAACAATAATTGCTAATGGACAAGCTTACACAACCTCTCAAGGTAAGGCTTCAAGGAAGGTAACCCCTTGTTCAGCACATGTACAGGAAGTCATTGCTTTTAGTAATGCTGTTTTGGAATCAGATGAGATAACCTGTGCCAAGCCTTCCTTCTTTGATTAACAGACAGGGTGTGAGCAACTTGTTTGTGATGACAGGAGTGGGCAGAACAACTGTTATTCAATTTCTAAGTTAAATGTAGCTCATTACTTAATAGAATTGTTTACAGTAACAAACTGTTGTCTGTGCTCCTGTGGGGAAGTCCTGGCCTGGTTTCTACAAGTGAGCTGGGGAAACCTCTTAGCTCTAAACAGGAGCTTTGTATCTCCTGTGCGTAGTGAAAGATGTGTTTGTAAAGCTCAATGAGTAGATTTTTCTTTAGCCGAGCTGGTGGTTGGAGAAGGATTTGAGAGCATTGTAACAGGAGTAGCAGTAGCTTGTGCTGCAGCCAAGGAGGGAGTTACTAGTTGTGCACGGGCAGGGAAGAACCTGGGGAGATCTCCAGAATTCGAAGTTATTCTATGTGTAGGATGTGCATGTGCACAGAGATTACTGAAAAGCTGGGTAACATGGAAACATCTGATGCTACTTTTGCAGTATTTCTGAATTTCTAAATCAGAATTTAAAATGGGAGTTGAAGGGCGTTTTGTTTTGATTTCAGGGAAATGTTATCTCCTTCTCATCAATGTGCCCCATCTTTGCTATACAATTAAACACTTCTTTTCTATTAGGCAATGTTTATTTTGATGTTAAGTCCTGGGGAAAAAGATATGGAGTGTTAACTGCAATTAATCCTGATACCCAAGATGAAGCAGGTAAGTTCATGGCACCAATTTGTTTGTGTTACTGCATTGTTTGAACACGTGATGCATCTATGATAAACTTTCATTCAACAGGCTGAAACAGTTTTCTAACCTGTTGTGTATACCTAACTTTCTAGTTAATTAAGACTACACTGCTTTTGTAATTATTTTTTGACACACCCACTGTTGCCAGTGCAAGAGGAAACTTGGTCTCTTTTCATCCTTGGTTCCCTCTATACCTTTGCTCTGGTACCTTAGGACAATTAGTATTCTTAATCAATTTTAATTAAATACTTGGCAGTGGTACATAGAAACTTCACAGTGAGGTGGTGTTCTCCCTGGTGCGGTAGCCAGTCCAGGGTAAACAGAGGGAAACCTCATCTACTGTGTTATTGTTGAGGCAGTTGCACTCTGATGAATGCTAACTGGATGAATTGTTCCCTTCATTACTTGCCACTGGACTACTGCTAAGCAGCCCCTTTGTGTGAGGGTGAGCAATCTCTTGATAGGCTGTGCTAGAGCAGGCCTATACCATGGGCTGTGGGGTTTTTGCTGCAGGTCCTGCTTTGCAGGATTGCTGTGCCTCCTTGTAGTTTCTGTAAGTTGGATCTCATCAGGTCTCTGCATCGGGGAATTTGATGCAGGCCTCCTGCTTCCTTTTGCACACTGAAGTTCAATATTTCATCATTGAAAAAACTCTCTTTGCAATTACTGAAAATGCCTGGCAGGCTGATGCTCAGGTGAGTTGCAGCCAGAACTTCTCACAGTTCTGCTCTGGAGTTGTTTCAGCATTACAGCCCACAGAGGGAATGTGTTTTGTCAACAGTTATTTAGAGGCAATTACTGACTGCAGAGGCAGCCAGCAGCCTCCTGGGCTGTACAGGGAAGAGTGCCAGCAGGTCAGTGGAGGTGATCCTTGTCTGCTCAGCACTAGTGGGACATGCCTGGAGTGCAGGTCTGGTGCTGGGCTCCCCAGTACAAGAGTGACATGGACATATTGGAGAAAGGCCAGCAAAGGGCCATGAATATGATGAAAGTACTGGACTATCTTTCGTAAGAGGAAGAGTGGAGAGAGCTTGGACTGCTCAAGCTGGAGAAGAGAATGCTCAGGGGAATCTTACCCATATGTATACATACCTGATGGAGGGAGTAAAGCAGATGGAGCCAGGCTTTTCTCAGTGGTGCTTGGTGATGGGACACGAGGCAGTAGGCACAACCTGAAACACAGGAAATTCCATTTAAAGCTAAGAAAAATCCTTGTTACTCTGAGGATGGTTAACATGCTGCTCAGAGAGGCTGTGGAGCCTCCATTCTTGGTGGTAATCAAAACCCAACTGGACACCATCTTGGTCAGCCTGCTGTAGCCGATCCTGCTCTGAGCAGGGGTTTGGATTAGTCTGTCTCCACATGTGCCTTCCAGCCTCAAGTGTGACTGATTATGTGTTTTACTCCAAAGTCACAACTAAATGTACTGATATTTCTAAAGATTTTGACAGTTGTTTTGCTTACAACTGAGAAGTTGAAGAGTGCTCTTTTGTAGCAGTGCACTCAAAAAAAGGTGAAAGAGGGATGGAGTCAACAAATAGTGGCAAACTAGTGGAAGAGCCAAGATAAAGATTCAGTTGATAAAACTAGGGTTATATTTCTGTCTCTTTAGTTCTTATGAATTTTGAATTCTGTGATTCTAAATGTGAGGTCATGTTAGAAAAAAGATGCAGAGTCCAGAACCCTATTCTTTAGCTCCTGCCAGGGAGTGGTGTGTAATCAACGGGGGATTAGGAGCCAGCAGAGCTGAACAATCCTGCAGTACTCTGGCAAAAAGGAGCTACATCCTTTCCTTGGCTGTGTAGTGAGGGAAGCAACAAATATAGCTGGAGAGGAGGCCTTTGTAGAGAACTCAGTGGTGAAAATGGTAGTGAAAAGTTACTACTGTCCAAGAATAGTTTTGATTCTCATCTCTGTGCACTTGGTTTTATAGAATCTGAAACAAAAAGTACTTGTGTCCCAGAAAAAAAAAAAAAGGGGTTTTTTTTTTGTTAACTTGTGTGTTTTGGTTTGGTTTTGTTATCTTTTCTGCCGCGGTGCAGTCAGTTTGTTGTGGGGAAGCTGGCTAATAAGTAACTAAATGAATCATACAAAGCCAGGGAAGGCCAAAAGGACTGCAAGGATACGATGTATTAAGGAATCTTGAATCCATCTTTTTAGCTTGTAAAAATCTATTTCAGTATACTGTTTTTTTTGAATGCTTGATTGGTCAACTGGAAGGGAGGGAAGTTGCAGTGAAAAGACAGAAGTTGATTGAAGGGGATTAAAATCTGAGTAGTTCGCTAAACATAGATTTCCTCTTGATTTCATTTGGTCATTTTTTTTCTTTGAGACATATCCCATTAACAAATCACTTATTCTTGGCAGTTGATTCTGATAAACAACACGGTAAAGATTTTGCCCTGTGGAAAGCTGCCAAGCCTCAAGAGCTATCTTGGGATTCTCCCTGGGGAAGAGGAAGACCTGGATGGCACATTGAGTGTTCCACAATATCAAGGTCAGATTTCTTGGATTTTAAATCGAGTGCTATTTTTGTTTTCAGTCACAGTACAATGGCAGCAGCAATATTGAAAGGGTTTTCTGGTCAGTAGATAGCACCGGTTTTAATGTGACCATTTTATGCAATTTGGGATGTCACATGTGGCCCGAATACACTGTGTTTCAACCTTATCACAGCTGTCTTGATATGTTTGGGCACCTTCTCTTGAGTCAGACTTGGTACTTAAAATATGGCATACAGGATCACACAGTTGATTAGCAAGTCTTTTAACTTGAACTGAATAACCAAAGATTTTGCGAAAGTTATGGTACCTCTTTGATTTGCTTTCCTTCCCCTTCTAGCAGTCCCCATCAGACCTAGTTCAGCATGTAGTACTGTGTCAGGAGGACAGGGCATGGGATTCCATCCTAGCTCCAGCGAGCATATGAGATCCTGCTGGCCTTATCTTAACAGCAGTTGTGGATGTTCATGCTAATAATCTTAAGTGTTTTTCATCTTCCTTTAAAAGTCAGCCACAGTATTAAATACTCTGTGACAGTATAGTCTTGTTGGCACAGTGTGAATTGTACTTAGTAGTGTTTTGCTTGTAGCTGGTTTGATGTAATTAGCTGTTAATTTAGAGTTTTATTTTCACCACAGGAGAAAAAAAATGTTCTCTCTTGGAAGATTGATATTGGTACTTAGTTTTGCATTAGTCTTAGATTTTTTTTTTGGAAGCTAATAACAAATTGTTTAGTTCTGACCCTGTTTATTTTTAAGTTTTTGACCAAAGCTGAAAGGACATGGAACCAGCTGCTTTAGGTTTCTTTCATATGCTTTGCTAGTGCACCTGGGATTGTTAGTCATTACTACCTGCTTACAAAAAGCATTTATAAGGGTAACCTTCTGTCCGTAAATAGTTTCAACATAGAGAAGCAGTTCTTAAAGCAACTGAAGTGCACAAAATCATCTTGTGTTTGAAGTACAACCTGTGACAGAAGTGCATAGATAAGAAATGCCAATTGCAAAATGGCCTGTCCACTAATGCTTCTGTTTATAGTCTGCCTTTCTTTCTGTAAAAATGTGTTTTACTGCAGCTGTATGAGGCTCCTGCCTTGTAAGTAAAAGCTGACCCATGCAGAGCATAAGTGTAGTAATCTTAGACTGTGAAAAATGGGGAGCTTATTTTGCTAAGTCATCAAAAATATTTTGCTGTTCAGTCAGCTGTCCAAGGCCCATTTTAAGCAATACTTACTTAGCCGTGTGTTTTGCCAGATATCTCAAAGCACTTTAACTAAGCTAGGTGAATTAATTTTGAAAAATCTGTGAAGGTGAATGAGGAGGTCTCTGGGCTCTAGTGCAGCCCTGGAGGAGGGAACCCACTGCTGTGACCCTCTCAGGACTGATCTCCTCTATGCAGTTTCTCTTGTGAGGTGGGCTGCTCCTCCTGCCTCTGAGCGTTTGGCAGATCCATCTCTCCCTCTCTCCAGCTCTTCATAGTTTTGTTGGAGGAAACAGCAAGTGCTCCTCTGTAGATGGCACAAGGGAAGGCGAGGGCTAGTTCTAGAGGGATTTGTGCTTTAGTAGCCAGTTTTGAAGCAGGCAGGAAGCAGAAGAGGATTAACTTGGGAGATGGTGTCAGCCCATCTTCCTGCCTGCCTTCCTGCCTGCCTGCCTTCCCCTCTTCTCCTTCTCTTTTCTTCCTGTGCCCCAGCAGCTTCTGCAGAGCCATCATGAGCCAGGGTGTTAGCAGGGTGTTTTGTCTCAAAAAGGGACAAACCAATGTTTAGCCAGTGACCAGGAGCAACTTGTTAAGGTGAAGGCCGTGTGTGTCTGTGTGCACACACATGCACATGGAGGGGGCGCTTGCCTTTATTTTCTATTTGTGTAGGCTTTGCATCTTCCCCTGCTCAAGCTCCTCTGGTTTCTGGGCAGTTAGGGTTGACTTACATCCCTGTGAGTAGGTGAGTGTTGTCTTCATTCAACAGATGGGCAAAATAAAGTTGCTAACTTGTCCAGCATGACCTGGGAGGGACTGCCTGGAGCAGTGGACAGAGTGTAGCAGCCTTGACACTCCTGGTGTTTAACCTGCAAGTGTCTAAGGCTATCCTGTTTTAGCCACATGAACACCTTACTGCCAGCCACCAGTGTTTGCAGAGAGGCCTGTTCCATGGCAAGCCCATAGGTGCCCCACACAGATCCAGCAGCACTGTTGGGATGTGAGAAATGGCCCTGGGAGATGAGAGGCACTGACACTTTGTTTTGACATTAGAACAATATAGGGCTAAGCATTTTCATTGTGACTGCACATAGTACTGTCTGAATTCTAACAGAAAAGGTACAAGATAAGGAATAGTAATACCAAATTTACAGAAATGTTTACTGCTTCAAAGCTCTTAGGTTTGCACATGAAGGCAGCTGTCTGATACTGAACCTGTAGCAGAACAAAGAAGGGAGACATCCTGCTTGCCATCCTTTAAACTAAGGTAGAATAATAATTACTTCTGCTGAGGAGGAGTAATTGCAGACAGATATGGGTCCTGTCCATACAAGTTTGGCTGCAGTATTGGTATCCGAGCTATGTGTAAAGTCTTGTTTTAAAACTGAAGCTATTAAATTGTACACTTAAAATTTATTTATGTTGTTTCATCTTATTCTTTTCTGCGTTTCTTTTTACAAAAAGATTTTGTAGTGTTCTACTTACCGATCAGGAAAATATTGTTACAGTGCAGTGTTTGGAAAGCAGCTGGACATCCATACTGGTGGAATAGATCTTGCATTTCCTCATCACGAAAATGAAATTGCACAGTGTGAGGTGTATCATCAGTGTGAGCAATGGGGGAATTACTTTTTGCATTCTGGTAAGTAAAATATTAATCACCTGAAAGGCCTGTACGAATATAATGGTTTGGTTTTTTAGGTTTGGCATCTTATGGTATGAAAACAGATGCTCTACTGCCGTGACCTCAGTAAGTAAAGAAACATAAATGACAGTGAATCTTGAAACTTAATAAAAGAGTTACAGTGAAATATACCTAATTTTCATCTGGTGAAGTCTCTAAAAAGTAACAGTGTATGTGTTACCCATGTGCAGTGTTTATTCCTAATTAAAAGAGTTTTACCTCTAGAGTTTCATTCCCTTTCATTTGAGTTTCCTCAAAATTTGAGAGCATCCTTTGATAGACTTTCTTTTTTAATTGTATTTTGACTTTAACAGTCCTGCAGAACTGTTTTGTAACAGTTCTGCAGGAAGAGGGCGAAAATAGTTTATATTTTCTATATGGGTTTATGTAGTCCTGCTAAACTCAGAAATTCCTTCTGTCTTAGAACCAGAACATGCAGTATCTGAAGGCAGGGAGTGGAGGTGGCAAGTAAGCAGGTAGCTGAATGTAACATTTTAAAAGCATTGAGAATAGAATAAACTAGTCTTGTTCTCACAATGTCTCTCAGTTGATTGTGGGCTTAAAAGTAAGTTTTCGGTAGCATGAAGAATAAAATAGCTTGAGTTTGTAAATACAGTGAAAGGCTTTTAATGATGATAAGAGAAAATATCTGTACTACTGGAAAACAAGAATGGGGAAAATGCTAAGATACATCAACTGATGAAGCAACAAAGCTCACAAAGTTGTGATCCTGCAGAGAAGTGTCTGAGCTGGGCTGTTTTGTATGGTCTGAAATATGGGTGAAGCCTTACAGGCAGATGTTCTGCTGCAGCAACCAGCCACTGTTCTGGGTGTGCAATTCATGTACCTGTAACTATTTACATTCTCCTGGGAAGCTTTATTTTATCCACCAGTAGCATTACACCTAGTGATGGGTATTAGAAACAAGATTCATGCTGAAGACCAAGTGAGTCAGATGCTTTGGTCTGTGCTGGTCAGGAATGGCCAGTGAGGCTGCTGATGGGTGGAGGGAGACAAGGAGGTCTGCATAAAGACCAAGCTGCTCACTCCTGGGCTCTATAGAAAAGTGGAGACACGGAGCCTCATCACTATATCATCACTCTGTAGTGCCCTGACCAGCTGCAGCGTCTCTCTGCTTTCCTGTGGAGTGTGGGTGACTTGGTACTGGTGTAGCCCTCAGATGTCACTGACCTTGTCTTTTCCACCAAGGTGACCTTGCTGGCTGTGCCTGACTAAACTGTACAAAACTGTCTTTTGGTGTTCAGCATGTTTTACTGCCTGGCATTGTGTAGAATTGCTCCTTGCTGCCTTTGCACAACAGTGCTTCATTCAGTGAAGTTTGTGCTGCACAGTGCTTTGAACTACATTGTAATCTGATGGTACTAGTGCTGTCCCCATTGATGGAAACCTGGAAATTTGTTCTTTTGATTGCAATCACGGTGGTTCTGGATGGACAGCTGGAGTCAGTAGAAGGTCAGGTTCAAGTCTGCAGTCTCTCTTTTTACTGAACAGTACTTTGGGCAGGATGTTTCTGTGAACTCTTGGAGTTGCTTCTCTGAGTAGAAGAGCTGCAGAGTTAAGCCTGTGGCACACTGTGGGAATTACATGAGCTTTCATTTTTATAAATTTGTACTGTATGGGATGAATATTGAATTCTAGTTTCAGTTCCCAGTGTAGAGCCTGTTGTAAATCAATAGCAATTGTCCAGAAGCTGGTGCATCCTCCAGAGTGTGCTTTGTTCCTGAGGCACTGTGGAATCCTCTGCACTTCCACTGAGATGCATTGGTTGCTTCCAAGGGGAGCCTTCTGTTGAAAAACAGTGAATCTGACTTTTCAAGCTTGGAATTGAAACCATAGGGGAAATATTCTTTACTACTAGCTAAATAAAGAGGAGTCAATTAAAAAAAAAAAAAGAGGGAGAACTTAATTCCAAGGGCAGTTTGTACACTAAGGTTCTCTAGGAGCTGACATATTACATTCATTAAATCAAAAAATTTTACTGGAGGATGACAGCGTAAATTATCTAGGGCAAATGAATCAGCCTCAGGAACAATTTATTCTACTAACAGACCTCAGAATTTTGCAGGCTCAGAATTGGAGGAGCAATCCCCATTAGAGGAAGAAAATCCCTGCACTGTGGATAAATCTTCTTATAAGGAGTTTATTTTTAGACTACTTGTACTCTGGGAAGACTGCCAAACTGAAGTTGTGAAAATCCCTGTATTTTGTGATTCCTGAATGAAGTCATTCTAGATACTGGAACTCTTGGAAGAGGAATATTAATTCAAAATCAGATGTTACCTGTACCTTTTTAGGAAAGCATAGTCAAACTATTTTAAGCTTGGTTGCCCGAAGTTAAGTAAGTCAATGTTTAGGCACCTGTGCAAAAGGAAAAAAGTAATCATACCCAGGCTCTTCCCTTTCTCCCAGGAGAATTTTGGCTGTGGATTTTACTTGAATTGCAAGAGCTGCAGATGTCTAGCATCTCTGACAGCCTGAATGTTCTTATTGAGCATCCCAAGTTTAACGATGCAATGGTGAAAGTGGTCTCACCTGGTAGCAGACAGGACAAATACAGAGAAAGCAAGATTTTTGGGTTGGATTCATGGAAATTGGATTCCTGGATCCATGGAAATCATGAATTTCTTCTGTAGCTGGTTCCACACTCATAGGTCTTTTGATTCTTTTCTGCTTTCCATAGTGTGTTGTGCAAGCTTAAAATTCCAGGTAGTCGGGGTAGGACTAGAGATAGCCGTTTCATGGTGAGTCCCTGCTGCTTTGAATCATTTTTAGAAATGTCTAAGAAGTGAAACCAGGTGCTTTCACATCCATTTACCAGGCTTGAGTGTGTTGCTTTCATATCCAGATGAGTGTAATGGGGTTTTTATCCACTCATGGAAGTGAGGGTGTTCCAGACAAGGCTGCTAAAGCATCTCTGTGTGGCGAGTAGCACAAAATTCAGACAGCTGCATGAGCTGCTGAGCAAGAAATGCCACTTCTGCTGCCACGTGTAAAAGCAGGAACATGATTATGCATTGTCCTTGCAGAGTACTCAGGCATTGGTAACGCTGGGCTGCCAAATCCGAAAGAATGCAGACTGCTGGTGTGGGGTATGAACAGAGCAAGGAAAGTTCATGCTTAAAAGTCTGCCTCTATGTATGACTAAGTGCTGGATTCTGCAGATCATGGATGTGCCTAAAAACTGTGTGCTAGTTGTGGGTTCTTACAGAATTACTGTTTTATTAGGAGAGACTAATTAAGGCTTTTAACAACATTTCTGAGTAGTCTTTCAATGGCAGTATGTTCAGCATCTCTCCAGTGCTGTGAATAATTCGTGCTTTCCATCAGTGGTGGTGCCATGGTAAGCACGGATGAGACCTCTAAACGGGCAACCTCAAGCTATACTTCCTTCTTCTGTCTTGCTTTGATAGAACCTTCAGTCTGAATACCAAGCTCTACATACTCTCTTAAATGCAATGTTACTACCTTTTTCCTGTACTACAGCCGATACAAAGCCATAGTCCTTGTAGCCATAGTCCCTGTGACTGTTTAAAGTTCTAGGATGCTCAGAGATCGCATTTTAAAATAAACTCAATTAGGCATTCAAAATCAAATTAGGCATTGTAGCTGCACCCCTCCCTCCCTCCCACTGCTTTTTCTCAGTCTCCCAAGACTGGAGAAGTAGAGAATGTGCAGAAAATTCATTTTGCATGTAAGATATTTTGAACCAGCACTATAAAACTTAGGATTAAAAAAATTAATGTTAACAGCCCCCAGCAAGTAATAAATACAGAAAATTGTTTGAGTTTCAGGGATTTTTTTAATATGAAATCACTGGAAAATCTTTAAAGGTCTTAAAATATTTCTGAGAAGTCAAGAGTAACAGGTAAGGTACTTGTTCTGTGAAGATTGAAAGTATTTGTTTGCTTGTTTTTATCAGTTTGCTATCAATTCTGAGCAGAGAGACTCATGGCAGTGGTGGTTTTTTTTAATGTTTTAAATTTCTGTTTTAAAATTGACCCAGTGGAAGTTGAGGATGGAGAGGTGTGCCGGACTGTAGACAAAGCTGTTGAAAAATGTGACACATTGCATTGAAATGGTTGGAGCGTTTCCATCACAGCATATGCTGCCTCCAGCGTTTCCAGGGTCTCAGTACAGTCTTTCTCATTCACTCCCCATTCAGAAGCACACTTACTTATCCTGATTAATTCCTTTTTTTTTGTTCTAGGGCATTTGCATGTTAAAGGAAGTCAAGAAAAAATGTCCAAGTCATTAAAAAACTACATAACAATTAAGGTAATTTCTTCCTATTAATTGAAGCAAAGTATATTTGTAATATGTAAATATTCATCACAGCCCCCTTTTGAGAAAACTTTGGACTGTGTGCTTAGGCTGCAGCAAAAGACCTGAAGTGTTTCTCCAGCACTTATCTATCTGTTATTGTGGATCTGGATGTATGATACCTCCTGGCACTCGGGGTTTGCTTGGGAGGATGGATCTCACTGAGCTGAGAGCATTTGTGCCCAATACCAGAGTCCTGCGTTATAGGTTTGTGGTTGGATTTGATGGTTACAAGGGTCTTTTCCTACCTGAACAATTCTGTTCTGTAGTTATGGGTTCTCACCTCTCTGCTCTTATTAGTGCTTGTGCTTTTGGGACTTAGAAAAGAGCAGACATTTTTCCTCGTCCTGCTTTAGGTGAAATGAGACATAATGTCAGTGTTTTGTCAGGAAGCTGTTAGGCCATGCTATGCCAGCAATCTCTTGTATTAGCCTTTATTTTTATATCCCAAGCTTTGCCTTTTGATACCACAAGCCACTGTTTCACTGTGTCCCATAGTCTGGTGTAGGGAGTCTGGAGCAGGGATTCTTTGCCAGGTGTGTATGATACAGCTGTGCCTGGCACTGTGGTGGCTCCTGTGATGGCTGATGCCTATTGCTAGAACAGGGTAATTTCCTTCCTTTAGACAAAGCTTGGGAAGCTGCTTCAGCACATATGTTCCCTTTTGTCCCCTCGGAAGACTTAATTAAAATCCCTTCAAAAAGAAGTTCAATATGAGCTGCTTTATTTTTAAGTCTTCTGATGCTGTCTGGGTACAGTTAAGCCCTGTTTCCCCATGGCTCACAATTTTCATAGAAATCTCATGAGTCTCAGCAGATGTTGTGGACAGAGTGGAGAAATAACCACAAATGCAGTGCATGAAGTTAAAATCTACATACAAAAATGTTCCCTTCCATGTCCTCCATGGTGGGACTTGTGTTGAGAAAACTAAGACTTCAGGCCTGTCTCTTTTTCCTTGTGGGTCTCCGCTTTTCATGTCTGCCCTTACACGTGGCTGACAAGTATTAATCCTTCCCAGTAAGTGATTTTCAGTCCAGTGTAACATTTTTTTCCTTTATAGCTGGCTTGCACTTTGAAAGTTAAGCCCTTCAGGAAGTTTTTATGCCTGTTCCAAAAGAGAGGAAGTCTGTCCAGGACAAACCTTTGGCCCACCTGCATTTCAGGCTGTCACCTGGGATTCTTTAGATCCATCTACCCTGTTTTCCCTCCCCTCCTTGTACCCTGCTTCAATTTTTTCTTACCCTTTTTTTAATAACTATTAATTCTGACCCCCAAAATCAAACAGATTGTGATAACACAGGGCCAAGCAACCTGCTTTCAAAGAGCTGTGATACTTTCTCTGTTTTTAATGAAATCCAGAATTGTTTTTTCCAGTTTGGATGGTCCTTTCCCAAATTTGAATTTATTTCCATACTTTACTCACACTCTACTTCTGTATATTAGTGTAAAGCTTCTGGGCACATTGGATACACACATTTATATAGAGTTTATTTTTAAAAAACCCACAGCAAACAAACACCCACCAAAACCATCAGAATCACTGTATATTTCTTGATTTTCACTGCCTCAATTATTTCTGTTTGCGTTTGAGAGGCATCACATTGCTGATGCTGTGCTACCTTTAGTGCTCAGGCTGGTTTAGTCTGGTAGCAGAAGCCGTATTTCAAAATATGAAATGTAAGCAAATGACACTTTCCATATTTTCTCACTTGTACTGACTTCTTATGATTTTTGATTTTCATGGCACTTCAGTGATCACAACCAGTTCACAAATTAAAAAAAAAAAACAAACAGAAGTGGGAATGCAGTATTCACAGTCAATCTGCCACCGTGTCCAGCCTTGCTGAGAGCAGGGTTGGAAGTGATTGAATGTTTTGTCAGTGTACTTTCCAAACATTTAAATAGTTTTTTATAGTATTAATGTAAATTAATTATACTAGTAATAATAGTAATAATTTCCTATTTACTGGAGTAAATTATTTGTGAAGCTAGATAAATATTAGAGTGAAATTAATTAGGCTTCATAATTAATACGGATTTTTTTTTTTTATATTGCTAAGATTTGTATTTGCTCATTCCCTGTTTTCCTTCATATTCTAGTCCTGCAGAAAAAGCACACTTACTTTCTTTTTCAAGAAATCTTATTTTTTTCATAAAGTTTGCAAAACTCAGGAGCTTTCCTTTCCTGTAAGATTGTATTCCAATTTTAGTCTGATAGTTTCACTTTGGGTTTTTTTGCAAAGGTCTTTATACAGTTGTATGTTCGATTGTGATTGCAAACTAGTTTTCATTGTCTTACATTGGACATTGTGTGTATATTTATAGCATGTATATATGTATGCATATGTGTCTTAAATAGAATTAGATTTTATTTAGTTTAGGCTTTAAACCAGTGTTAGAATTTAAAGATTTTTGCCTATCTTAAACTGCAAAGTTATGTTACTGTTCATGTTAGTTTGTCTGAAATATGCTGTGAAACTAATGTAAGAGGGTGGAATGGCTCCTGAGGAAATTGAATAATGCTAAAGCTATCTTTTTGTGCACGGAGTTTAGGATTTCCTGAAGAAATTTTCGTCAGATCAATTCAGGATGTTTTGTTTGCGTGGCAGATACAGCTCAGGTAAGGACAAAGCCCCTTGTTTGTTGAGGTGGTGTTGTTCCTGGCTTTCCACACAGGCTTTCCAAGCTGGTGATGCGGAGGTGGAGCGAGCTCTCCCTGTGGGGCCTTGCAGTTCCCTTTCAGTGGGTGGAAAGGTTTTGGTGGTGCTCTGTGGGGCTGCTCTTTGGCTCACATTTAGAAAAGCATCTTTCCTGAGCACAGTACGTAACCATTCATCTAAATACCTTCCTGAGCTGCACTTAATTGTGACTCTCAGTTAATTGCACTTTCAGTTAATGAATTACCTCAGTCTCTGATTTGCATCCGCTGCAGTTACTTGTATTTCAGTCATGATCAGCTAGTTTTGGAGACATATCTAGGTGGAGCTTTGCCTTACATTCCCGTAGGGTATGATGAGGGCTTGCTAATAACTTTTTATCTCCCTGCTGTGTTCTCATTTTTTGTCCTGTGGAGTTACTGAGTGTTCAGGCAGTTCTCTGGTGCAATGCAGCTCGCTTACACTAGCATTTGGTAACCTAATGATCAGCTTAACCTGGCAGACCCTGCTGGTGGGGAGAAGTGTGGGAGATTTTGTCAGCTTCCTTGTTTACCCCGTGGTGTTTCCAGCAGGTAGATGGTACTTTGAACTGGAAGAGGTTTTCGCATGAGCAGTGGTTTTACCAGTTTATTGGGGCCTGCCAAAAGCAGATGGTAGTGCCCTCACCCCCGGCATGGCAAGGGAATGGTGGAGCACGGGTGTGGATAAGGCTCTGGGGCTTTGCTAGTGTCCATCAGTGTGGTGCAAGCCTTTACAGATGTGGAGTCATTGGACTGAGAAGTCTTTTTGCTTGTTAATAACTAGCTGCTTGCAGGAGGCATCCATCTGATATTCCTGGTGGAGCCTCCCTCTCCTAGGACATGAGGAGTGCCGTGTGTCCCTGCAATATATCAAAGCATGGGATAGTAAAGAGAGAGGTGGTCATTAACTTCTGACTTCCACTGTGGTAGGAAGGGAGGCGTGCATCCAGCTGAGAGGTGTGCTGCAAAACAACATCCCCTTTGGGGCAGGCAGTGGGTTGTGGTGTGCCTGGCTGTTCTGGGATGATGCTGCAGGGCAGTGGCAACCCCTGGCTGTTTCCTCTGGGTCTCTGTCAGGAAATGAAATATGCCATGGACACATAAAAATAGCTCACTGGCTGTAGCTGGGGGCACTTGGGAGTCCTGAACAAATGTGTGTTTAAAACAAAAGGAGAAAGGCTAACATCTACTACACCACCAGATATATGTATGTCATGTAAACAAGGGAGAGTTAAATGGCTGTTAATTCCTAAGCTTGTCTCAGGGCAAGGAATGTCACTGGAGCCCTACAGGGAGAGCTGCCTGCAGGCCTTCTTCACTGCATGTCAGCTGGCTGCATTTGAACCTCTTCCAGAAGGATGTGACCCTTTTTTTTTGCATTAAGTCTAGGTTAAGCACCTTTCTGTGATAATAAAGGAGGGCTACCTGTGCAGAAATAGGCGGCTTTGATGAAAGGATACGGTGGTGTTTTATCAGAGTGTAGTGCCAGTAAGTCTGTTGGCAGATGAGGGTTACTTGGAAGTCTGATGCGCTTGCACCTCCACCTTACAAGGCTGTGTGTGTTATTACTGCCCAGTAAAGAGCCAGAGTCAGTCCCTGCTGAGCCGGTATTTACTGTCCTGCCTGTCAGTTTGTGTCCCTGCTACCAATTTGCTTTGCTCTAAAGATAAGTTTACTGCTCTCCTTCTCATCTTGCTGTCTGCTCCTAAGTGTTTTTATTAGAACAGAGATCCCAAGCACCTTCTGTTTGTTTCTTAAAAGGTTTTTATAGCCTAAACCCGTCAGTGATGGTTCCTGCCACCCCTGCCTGTTAAGGAAACTGTTTTGTAAAATGCAGGTTTGGCGGATCAGGTGATGTTGCCACACTCGTTGGATTGAGCATGTAAAAGATTTTTGTAGGCTTGTGGGGAAGAGGAGAAAAGTCAAAGAGAAGAGGCTTTGATGCAGGACATCACTCTTCCATAGTGTGTTTCTGCAGGGGGTCCCCCATGCTCCTTCAGCCTTTTTCAGGCTGGTGGGGCAGAGCTGCTTGGCATGAAGCTGAGTTCTGGGGGCATTGATGATTATCTGGGCCTTTTGCTTTGGCTGATGCCCCTGGCTATTCCCTTCTAGGCCTGAATCACCACCCTTTGGCACACCTGAGACTGTTGGGAAAAGGTCGTTCCTAGGTACCATAAGCAGCAGCAAAGTGACCCTCCACCAGTGTGCCTGCCAGGTGCTTCTGGGTGCAGCTTAAAAGGGGAGGTGCCATCTCTGAAGCCCCATTGTGAGGCAGTGCTTTTCCTCTTGCATCTCATCAGCAGCAGCTTCGCTCTATGCAGTGATGTGGAGGGGCTGTGAGCCTGCTGCGGGCAGTGGGGTTCTAGCTCCAGAATTCTCTCCTGGTCACCAGAAATCTCTGGTGATTTTGTGAACCTGAGTGAACTGCAATGTTTTGACCCCTCTGGTCCGTAGTAACTTGTTGATGCTAATAAACGTAGGTTTCGTACTTCAGTGGTGCAGCGATGATGCCCTCGGGGGCAAAGGAAGGAAGGAGTAGGGACTATGGTGAAGGTTTATAGAGCTGGGCCTGCCCCTGCTGTGCTGTGGCTTTGCAGTGCCTGCAGGCGGTGGTTTAGGAGAATGCCCTGAATTGAGGATGAAGAATCGCTTTAATGAAAGCAGGCTTCATGAGGATAAACTTTCATCAGGTATTCCTTGCAGAGTTCCTGTAACCAGGGTAATCACTTGAGTAGTCCTAATGTTTATAGATGATCTCTCTCAATATCTCACTGTTTTGTAGAAGCCTGTACATTGGTCATTTTAAAAACTGAGTAAAGCTTCATTTTAAAATCAGTGTTAATGAGGCAGTAATGCAGATTTTTAATTACACACAAGTGAAAAATCTGACAAATTCAGGTCCAGGCTTATGCCTTAGTTATACTGGGCTAAATCTGAGGGAGAGTTGTTTTAACAGTTGAGCTTCCTTGGAATTTGGGCTAACTGAACTGAGATCAGTCCTCTTAGATCTGTCCCCTTGCTGCCCTGAAGTCTGGGCAGCATTGGGTGGTTGCACAAAGCAGTTGGCTGTAAGGTGAGCAGAGGTGAGATTGCTGTGGGTGATGCTCAGTACTGATGAGATTAGGAATATGCTGCAAGCAGTAGTTTGGATATACCTTATTGCAGAGGTCCGCTATAAAATGTTGAAGCAATACAGCACTGGCAATGTATGGCTCTGGTGTGATACTGTGGAAGGGAATTAATTTAAATTTAGGCTTGTCCTAGGTGGACAGAGCTTCCACCAAAGTCATGTGAGCTCTCTTGTGTGTTGTCCAAGACCTCTTCTATAGAAAATTGCACATTACTGTACAAATTAAAAGAAAAGCCTCCTGCTAATAGCAACTCACAGTAGAAATGAGAGGGAGCCAATCTAGCACCTGCACTTCTGAGGGTGCAGGCAGGTGAGAGGAGCCTGCTGAACTCTTAGCCAGCAGGAGTGAACGCTGGTTATTCCCAAAGTGGAATTGCCTGCTGAAGCTAGAGTCCTGCTGAATGCAGTGTAGGGGTTGTCCGTGTGCGTGGATGCCTGGTTAGTGGTGTGGCTAATGTTGTTTTTCCAGTTGGAGGAAGAGAAGCACTGTAAGGTTAGGGTGCAGCAGATCATAAAGCAGAGCTTTGCTTTGGATGCAATGAATCATTTACTTTATGGTTTTATCTTTCCTTCCAGTGACTTTAAGAGGCTTCAATGTGTGTAAGTTGGATGTGATGAATCCCATCCCAGATATGCTCTTATGAGTTTCAGCAATTTGTATTTTCTCTAGTAATTGCTTCTGCAAACTGGTATGATCAGTTTAGCTTTGATATTCTGAGGGAATTGTATATCTAGTGAAGAAGCTAGGCCACAAAATTTAAGGTTCATCTAGATTTTAGATATTGGTGAAGCAGCCCTTTAACTCTTAAAGGTTAAGCCTGGATTCCTCACAGATTCAGTAGTAAGGGTTAGGCCTCTTTGGAGGTCTCCAAATACAGATTATGTCTCCCTAAATAAGAACAGGAACAAAATTAGAGGTATGTATTTCCAGCTTAAATCTAGAGAAATGCTTAGAAATATATTAAATCCTAAAGCTTTGGATTAATAACTTTGCAGAGAGATTCGATAATGGGAAAAAAAAATTAAAGTCAAATAGTAGTTGCTTCAGTCAACTTCCACATTCATTTTTTTGAGTCAGTCTGATGCCTTTCCCATAGGTAATACTTTGTCATATGTACTGATTGTTTTTATATTGATTGAATTCACCTAGTGTCCATGAAGAATGTGCAATTAATGGTAAGAAAAGTTTGCTGTACAAATAATAACAAACTTTTCCTTCATCTCAAAATACTGTTCCTATGTATGATAGACAACATACTCTTCATCATAATGCCTTAATTTCTTTTTTTCTTAGCCGTAGAATTCAGTGACAAGAGCATGGATGATGCAAAGAACCTTCTTCAGGCAACCTCCTCATTTATTACAGATGCAAATGCATATATAAAAGGACAGCTGGTGTGTGACCCTGTTAGAGAAGACATACTGTGGGAAAGGTAAGCGCACCTCCTGTTTCTTAAAGACTGTGATTGTTTGAGCAGTACTTTGCTGACAGGCTCAGAAGGCTGACCAGTGTTCTGATTTCTGTTTAAGAAGCAGGACAAGAAGGGCTATGCAGCAGTCTTCCTTCCCAGCCCTCACCAAGGGCAGCTTTTTTTTTCTTCTCTTTCTAGCCAGGTGCTTTTCATTATAGTCCACCACACTTAGTTCATTGTGTTTTTAAAATCTGTGTTATTTATCTAGTGTTCCTGTCCTAATACAGGCATCTTTGCCCCTCTTGAGTGATGTAGAAGGCAAAGCTATGGCAGTTGTGAGGGTACCTGGTTCATTAGCGACTGGAGAAGAAAGAGAACGACGGAAGAGTAGCACACCTTGGGCATGTGAACTCAAAATCAAGCTGGCTGGCACTGTGGTGTGCAGCAGAGGAGAGAAGGGGTTACTAACCAAGTGTCCAGGGGCAGGGATTCTGACAGGGGTGAGAAGAATCTTCTTTGGAGTCCCTTATGAAAACCAGATCGTCTTCCAGGATTGAGATGTGTTTTGTGATGAGTGCAAAGCTGAGAGGAGGAGCACAGTGCTCTGGAGTCCGAGTGGGAGAGGCGCTGAGCGCCCTGAAACAAGTTAAGTGCAAGCAGTTCTGGGACATAGGATCAGAGGGGAAATGGTCTGTTCTGTAGAGGTGAGAGGCAGCTTCCGTGTGCATTGAGCACCTCACTGTTGGGGAAGCTTGTGGCTGCACTGACTAGGGCTTGCAAAGGGCATAGGAGCATGTTACAGGGAAGTGGAGTTGAATTAACTAGCTGTGGTATTTGACAAAAGCAAATCCTTCAGCAGGAGGCTGGAGGAGATCTGTTGGTGAGAGATAAGGCTGAGAGACCTGAAGAAGTTGAAATGGATTGTCGGTAGGGGATGTGTGGGAGGGCACAACTTGTATATTTGTAGGTGTAAAAACAACCAATATGTAACAGAGCTCTTAATTAGACAAGTGTTAGATACTCAGTGGAGAGGAGGAAGCTTGGAGGAAAGTGTTGAGAGGAATGAATTAGGACAGTAGCCATCTGATATCTGAGGGGAGGCAGGCATTCTACGCAAAACCAATTCAGAAACAGCAAAATAAGGCTCAGGAGAACCCTTGAGAGACACTAGGATAGCTTGATGTTCTCCAGCTAGCCTTGCTCCTTGAGCTTTATTGGGAAACAGCATCGTTGGGTCAGTGCTATTGAGCAGTCAGTCAGTTCGCCTGCCTGTGTATGAGAACAAGCTGCCAGCAGCTGTTTGCAGCTCCCCGTTTATTCCTGCTGCTCTCCTCACCCTCCTGCTGAGAGTGGCTGCAGCTGGTGGCACTGGTTCTGCAGTGATGAGTGCTGGTTGCCTGCTGGTTTTTGGGGCTGTGTACACAAATGGTCCCACCAGATCTTTCCATCTGGCCTAAGGCAGGTGGAGTCCCAGGGCTGGGATTGGGCTCACCTGGGAAACAAGGAAGCAGCGCCTGATTCTGAGATGGATCCTGGCAACAGGATTCCTAGCCAACCCCAAGACAGCTCTCTTGCCAGGCACTGGAGTGATGCCTGTGATGTGGCTTTGGAAGAGAAGCATGCTGTTAGCATGATAAATGGGCTGCTGGAAAAAAAACCAGAACTTAGCAAGATTTTTGATGTGTTTAATATCAACCTCATTTTCCATCTGTTTTGAAATTATTACAGCAAATTTGCTCTGTTGTTTTTGGTTCCTGTGATTAACCATGTATATTTATTGAATGGATGTAACACTTTGGATTTTGACATGCGTCAAGTTTTTCCCCTCTCAGCTGAAAGATGTATTCTCCCTGATCAGTGTAGCATTGCCCATCACAGGACAGCTAGGAAGGAGGTGACAGTGTCCTTTCAATGACTCCCTCTAGCTGAATAGCTGATGAATTCAGAGTTCTGCTGGCATCTTGTTTGTCTTATCTTAAATGTTACCTTTTCTTCTTGAAGGCTAGCCAACACAAAAGTAACCGTGAAGGCTGCGTTTGCAGATGACTTTGACACCTCCAGGGCTGTTGCAGCAATTATGGACCTCATTCACCATGGCAACAGACAGCTTAAGGCTGTTACTAAGGTAACCCATTAGGATACAGAGATCAGAAAATGACAGCTGTCCACTGTCCTACTGTTTAATGCAGACAGATTAGTTTATTGTTCACATAAGAAACCAGCAGAAACAAAGCTCCATAAATTGTTGACCGTAATGGAGCCTATTTGTCCTGACCCTATCACAGGAATTGTGCACGGGTATTGTTTTGTGCTTCGTTGTGTCCAGAGGATGTTTCTTTCCTGCTGCCCTATATTATTTATACCTAAGGTTTTTGAAAGGCCTGAAGCCATTGTGGCATGCTGCTAATTTTAGTGTTCTTACCCTGCTTCTTTGCTTAATATCCATGCACAGAAATTAACCTGTGCATGGATATTAACCTGGGAAATGGGGGTGGGGGCTTGCTGCAGGGGCTTTGGCAGGCAACCCCAGGTGCACGGGGCAGTCCTGGGGGTGAGCTCAGCATTGGGGACTGAGTGGCTTTTGCTGTTGGCACATGGTAACTGTGGCATCAGCATTCCTGAATGAGTCTGTCTTCAGATGACTTTTGGCAAATTGAGACCCTGTTAAGATCTCTTGATGCTGACACAAACAAGGCAGCTGGAAAGGACAAGACCTGAGCGATAAACACAATCTGAAGCACTTATGGGTCTCCATTTACCAACAACTCCCTTTGTCACTCAAGGCAAGCACCTCAGCCTTGTCTGTGTTCCTTGATTGCTGGTGTCATCTGTTCACCCTGTTTGTGCTCTAAAAGAAACGTTGAGTACATGGTAATAACTGATTTTAAGAGAGAATTAGCCTGTTTGTTTAGAAATCCTGCCTCCTGCTGGGCCTCTTTCGGCATTGGCTTTAAATTCTGCCCTTAGCCTTACCTTTACAAAATAACTCTGAGCAAATTCACTCCTAAATACAAGTAACCTCATTTTGTCAGTCATTTCTCCTCCCCCGAATTCCTCCTGCCAATTCTTTTGTTGAGAATGGGATGGGGTATTTGTGGGGCAGCTGCCTCGGATTTCTGGTCAGGGTGGTGGAGCTTTCCTGGGTACAGTGCAGATGTCAGAGTGTCCCTGTTACTGGCTCTGTCTGTAGTTTTTCTCCTTAAGAGCTGTGAGTAAATCCACATAACTACTTATTCCTCTCTTTAACCTTCTTGCCATTCTTACCTTAGTGAGCACGTTCCTGTTTCTTTGTCTCAGTGGCCTGCTCCAGCTCATCCCTGTTCAGATCTTCTACACATTTTAGGCTATGGTTTATGTGAGGCCCTAATGAAGATGTCCGATAAAATCCAGTACCAGCTGTTAATTTGCCTGTGTGTGTCATCACTCTTATTTTTTAGGCAAGGCTTAGTCCCTTAAATTGCTCCTCAGTCTATCATTTAATCTTGATTTTATTGCTGCTGCTGCTGGTTTCTGGTGCTACCAGGGCATGACAAAATGCCATACACTATCTCTAAGAGGTCTCCACATTGATCAAATCAGTAAGACACTCAAAGAATGATTTTTTTTTAATCCTTTATACTATAGGTGCCCATGAATCTGGGATTTTTTCTTTTTATTTTGTTGCCATACACACAGCCCTTTCATGCCCAGAAGTGCTATTTTTATGTCTAATTCACTGCACATATGTAATGCACGGCAGCTTCACGAGCATCTCTTGTCCTCACTGCGCAGGCTGGTGATAAGCTCTTCCCTTCCCTCATTTATTTAAATCTTTTCCCTTTGTGCTGTGAGGTGCTTTTATATCTCTGTAAGATTACCCGTCTGGGCAGGTGTTCCTGGTGGAGGTAGATCTATATAATTAGTAGTAGTTTTCCCCTGTGGACTAGGCTACAGAGAGATGCTGGGTTCTGTAATATGTATTGACTGGGCAATCTCTTTTGAGTGTTTTTTAAACAGGATGCTGGGTCTCCTAGAAGCTCTGTTGTGTATGGAAGCATTATTTCCTATGTAGAAGGTTTTTTCAATGCCCTTGGGATGTCCTTTGGAGAAAGACAGGTATGAAACATCTCTTCTATGTGTTCTAGTGTATGGTAGCAACTCCAGGGTTATGTTTTATAGAATGCTTTCCAAAAGCATCAGATGTGACAAAGTAATTGATGGTTTTAGTAAACCTTTCTGCTTCCAGTTTCTTCTGTGATGTCTTAGGAGAGTGTGTGAGGAGGTGGAACAAAGTGTGGGCTTTTTTCTTCTCAGAGGTACTCTTGTGCGGCTTCTGCACCAAGGGTGCTGTTGAAATCAGAGTCTGAGGAATGAAATGAGAAAAAGTTGGCATTAGAGGCCTTTAGTTTGGTCCTGTTATGTGTCTGGCTTTCCCCCAGCTTTTCCTTTTCTTTCTGATGGTGGCACCCAGGCTGGCTTCGCTAGCTGTGTGAATATTTGCAGTTGTGACCCCCTTGCACAGAGCAGAAGCTGAGGTCCCGCTCCTCTGCAGAAAGCAGGGCGGGGAGAAGGGGCTGCTCTGCCTTGAGCCATGGTGGGGTGTGGGGAGGGGACTGCACTGAGGTGCGAGGGGGGGCCCCCTTACATGTCTAATTCATGGAAAGACAGGAGTGGGGAGAGAAAAAAAGGAGGAAAAAGTTCAAAGCAAAGTACTGAACAGGAAAGAGAGTTATAAATATGGAGGTGATATCCTGATGTACGGAAGGTGAGCGTTTAAAATGACACAAGATGTTGGAGAATAGCAGGCTGTTCTGTGCTCCACTCCTGCTCGAATACGGAGTTGAATACCAAGAAGTGGACAAGTTTCTTTAGAGAAACTGTTCTGCAAAAATTTATTTTGGGGAGGGGGAGAAGAGGATAAGAAAATGTAAATAACATTATTCATCCTTTGAAAGTCAGGCACTATAGCGATAAATGTGTTTATTTACTCCAGTTCTTTATGGATTTTCTCACTAAATTTCTTTCAGAACAGTAGCTGGATGTGATTTGGCCATGTGTTATTCCTCATAGCCTGTAGTTTGCATCTTAATTTTTAGTGGCATAAGAAACACTTAAATTTTTCTCTAAGTTGGGTGGTAAAGTCATTCCTTCAGATTCTGGGCTGCCTGTATGCAGGTGTCTGCTACACCTACACATTTTTCCTGAAACAAGTATATGAATGCTTTTCTTTGTTGTAAGCTGTGCTAGTTTCTCTGTGGCAACAGGATCAGCAGAAGATGCTGGTCTGAGGAAAGGAAGAAGGAAGGAAGGAAAGCAAGCACATCAGACTCTTTTCCATCCCTCTGTTCTTTCAGATTCCAGTAAATTAATCCGTCAAAATCTTCATCAGAAAGGTCCCCAGGCTGCCACATGTTAGTAAATAAAATGGTGCAGACATTGTTCTCTGACCTTGAGACCAGCCACAACAGCTCAGCATCCCACCTTTCTTGCCCCTTAGCCAGGTAGCCCCAGGCATGCAGCTGTGAGTCCCAGCATGTGGGCTGTCTGGGAGAGGGCTGGCTGGCTTGGCCACTGCTGTGCCAACAGCTTAGTGTAGAAGATACAGGGAGCAGTGTTTGGGCCCTCTTCATTTGGATGTTTGCATATAGCCTGTGGGTCTGTCTTGCTCTTGGGCTGGCACTCAGCTAATCAGCTGTACGGTCTAATGTAACTGCTTGTGCTTCTGAAGTTGTCAGTGGGGATGCTAAGGCGTAGTCCGTCTTAATCTGGTGGTTGTATAAAATAAGACTGCCTGTCTCTCTCTCTCTCCGCATTGGCAAGAGAAGGATCTTAGCCCACAGGGAGGTAAGATGAATCCATCAAGAGATGATGAGTGGAAATGGCATGCCTGTTTTAGAGCTGGGAAGCACGGGTGAGGGCTTTTGCTCTGCCAAAGAGTGCTGAGGGCATTGCAGGTGCAGCTGGGGCGAAGTGGTGATCATCTGTGGGGAAAGCAAGGGCCAAATTTCCATTTAAAACTTATTAAAAGCTCTTTGGATTGGTTAGTACTGCAAGAGAAGAAACTGGAGATCAGTCCTGAGAGGCTACACAGTGTTTTATGTGGAAATTGGATCAGTTCATCTCCTAAAGCTGCCCCTCCTTTTGCAGGATCTCACTCCAGTAGGTGCCTGGTTTGAACTCCGTCAGTGGTGTTTGTAGAGGCATGTTTGCTACTCCCATCATCATTTGTCTTTCCTCTCCCTTCTGTATTTAAGCATTTATCCTGCTCTTTTACCTGCCCCAGGTTACTATGGAGCATTTCTGGCACTTAGATTTATTACCTTCTTCAATCTCATAAACCTTTTCTTTAGTATGGTTACATGTTTTGAAAGCTTGGGGAATTTGCTGCATCTCATGCTTTTTATCTTCAATAGCTTCTCCCTCACCTTCTCCTCCTCCTCTTTGTTTGTCAGTGACCTCTGAAACTGCTCCCTCTCCTTTCCATCCTGCTGTTCAGTGACTACAGTCCCCTCTGGCTTTAATTACTCAGCTGCTCTTCTGCTCCCAGATGAGCGTTGCTGGCGGCAGCTTCACCCCCCACCTTGGTGTATTTTATGTTTCACTGGTCTGTTGGCTGCTCCCCCTCTTGTGTCTTACTGATAAAATACTGCAGTGGCCTTCTCTTGTTTATTGGAGGTTCATCCTTTTCCTGCCCCTTAGGAGTTTGCCTCTAATGAGAAACAGGGATGGTCTCTCTGTCAAGAGTGAGACCAGGAGCCTGGCTGTGCCAGTGCTGAGGAGTGGCCTTTCTCTTCAGCTAACTCCCAAGCTCCCGTCCTGGCAGCTGTTGGACCAGGACTCTCTAGGAGGAGCAAGTCTGTTCTCTTCTTGAGGCATTGACCAGTGAGACTTCTACCAAGCCAGCGGGGGCTGAGGAAGCTCGGAGCTGGCGGAGGGAAGGAGGGGGCTTGGCTACAGCCAGAAAATGCCCACTCACCATGTGCAATGGCTGCTGCTCTGTTGGGTTGAGTGGCTGTAACTTTGGGCAAGGTGGATCAGGTGAAAGTTCTGTAGATTTGGGTAGATTTTTCTGTTGATGCAAGGAGAAAGGATAGACTAGAGACTTAAAGTGAAAATACTTACTTTTCCTGGTTTGTATTTCCTGAAGAAGGCCTAGAGCTCAAAGGCAGAGTAAAAGGCTGATGCATTTGCGAGGTCTTCGGACTATTACAGCCAAGGAGCTGTCTGAGCTAGTGGCTGGACTTCCCTTGCTGTATTGGATTCCTGTTGCCAGGTCTTTCTTCCATTAATTTGTCTAACCCCGTTTTAACTTATGCACACTTTTGGCATCTTGGAGGTTTTCTGTGGTGATGAGTTCCACACTCAGGTTATGCAATGTGTTATGTTCAGGTCAGAGCACTCTGCTGACCTCCAACATAGATGCTTTCCTGTGTAGGAATACACTGAACTACTTCCAAATGTGACTCCACTGTAACTTTTTGTCCAGCATTAGTCCATATATTCCATATTAGTCCATATTAGTCCATATATTCCAATATATGGAAGATGTACAATCAAGAGAGGTGATGAGGCCTCAATGTGTGCTGCTGAGTTGGGGTTGATTTTTTTAAATACCATTCTCAGGTGTTTGTAAAGCACGCTGTTTGATTTCTAGGTGGCTGTGGGAGGAGACAACTCTGCAGTGCTCTCTAATGTCCTTGACGAGCTTGTGAGGTTCCGCACAAGGGTCCGTCACTATGCGCTGGCTCTGCCAGAAGCAGCAGATGCCGTGCCAATGGAGGGGGCTCCAAGAGTTAATGAACCCAAACAAGAGCAGAAGGAAAAGAGGAAGCAGTTAATGCTGGAGAGAAAACCCCTCCTGGAGGCTTGTGACAGTCTTCGTGAAGACCTTGCTGCCTTTGGAATCCAGCTAAAGGTAGAAGACAGTAACCCTCTTTAGAGACTGTTAATCACTTTTTAAGAGAACACTTATTTTTGCTCTTTGTTCCCCTTCATCAGCTTTCAGTGTTGTTTCCTGCTCCCTGAGTGACTGCAGTAGCAGGAGGTGGAAGTCAAGCCCTTGTCTGGCTGTATTGCTGCCTTCTCTTCTGCTCCCCCTCAGCCTCGTGTCTCCATGAAAGCTGTACCTACTTCTGCAGTTACTAAGGGCGTGCTGTTTAGCCATTGAAAATCTAATATTCAGAAATCTCTAAGTTGCCCAAGTTCAATCCAGAAGGAAAGGTGTGAGTAATGTGTGCAATCTTAAAAAAGATTGCAAAGGAACTGGGAAGTGAACTGAGATGACTTATAAAAATAACGCCTTCCTTCTGCCCTCTCCAAATTCCCCACCAAAAATAAGTCCTCATGAGAAAGCCTCTTCCATCTTCAGCAGCTCCATTCCCAACTGTTCCTGAGCCACAAGTACTTTGCTGATTCCTGTACCACTCCTCTCTCCATCCTGCTTTCTACTTTTAGCCTACACCTAATGCCACTGTTCTTTTCTGTTACCTTAGTGGCACCTCCTGCTCAAGAGAAGCCCATCCATTGTGTTACTGCCTTCTCCTGGTTTCAAGGAGCTGTGTTACTTTTGTAATGGCCCTGCTTCTTCCAATTCCTCTTGTTCACTGCCCTTCTCACCTCTGCTCCACCCGTTGGTGGGTCAGTGTTGCTCCTTACATGCAGACAAATCCTTGTATTCTCTCCAGTGTCTTTTTTCCTCCCTCCAGTTTATGCTGCTTATTTTTCCCTCGCTTGGGGAACTGAGCCTGCCTAATCTGCTTCCATCCTTTTGCTGGTAGGGATATAAAGCACAATGACATCAGGGAGGGACAGTATACATCTGCTTTGGTTGCCCAATGTGAGAGCTTGTCAGCACACCTGTTAAAAACAGCTGTGGAGCGTGGTCACTGTCTAAGGGTCTCGGATGAAAGCGAGCGTGCGATACAAACTGGGTGAGCGCCTAAGCACTGTGGTGGTGAGCTACAGCTCTGAAAGCAAAGGAATACTTTGAGAAGCTGGAATATCTGCCTCCTTTAACTTGTTTGTAAATCCTCACTCCACTCATCTGTCAAGCAAGTTTGAAAATCCAAACAACTGTGCTGAGACAAAGTCTTGGAGAAGAAGCTTGCCTTTTGATCTATTGGCAAAACAGCCACAGCCCCATTTCCATCCTTGTGCAGATTTGTTTTGCTTTGTTTTTAAAGGGATTTACATGTGAAAACTTCACAGAAATTGGTCAGAACCAGGATTCAGACCGGTCCATTTATTTAAAAAATGTTTTTAATAACCTGAAGCTCAGCATAATCTGTCTCCTGCTCCTCCTAGAAGAGGTTGTGCCAGAAGGCAAAGCACACACGCACAGATGAGCACACACAGCACACATCCAAAGCTGAAGTCCTGCTTTTTTTGCTGATACCATGGAAGTATCCAAAGGTGTGCTGTGAAGGTTGCTCACATCTTGCTTTTGCAAATCCTAAAGAGTCCTGTGAACATGCAGCTCTGCAGTTCCTGACACAGGCTCACCAGAGCACACATGCAGCAGGACATGGCCTTACCCACCTTCCTACTCAGCACGAGTCTGCTTGTCTGGGGTCAGCTGTTAGAAAGTTGCCCTGGTAACACAGAGCCCACCAGGGGGGTGCTGCTTGCCTAGTAAGTGCTACCCGGCCTCTCATTGCCACAGAACTTCTGAGCCTGATTATATGCATGCAGCAATGCCTCTGCTAACAGGTTCCACTCTGTCACATGAAGCTCAAGTAAGCCAGCAACTTCTCAAGTCCATGTGCAGGAGGAAAAGCAGCAGAACAGATGAAGCAGACAATCCTCATCTACATGCAGAGTAGACTAGGAACACCCCTGGTTTGAGGGAGGGCAAGGAGGGGGTGGCTTGAGAACCAACTCAATCTCCTTAAAAATCAGCTTTGTAAAAAGGGTAATTTCTCCTTCAGATTCTAAGTTTGTAGTTTCTTCTCTCAGGCTGCTTGATGTAGATGATGTTGGCTGACGTTACCTAACTTGTATCAAACTGATTTAAAAAATACCCATTTGTCTTTTCATGTCATTATAGCATGCTTGAAACACAAGCTCAGCTGTGCCGCTAAGTGAAATGTAGTAATTGTGTATTTATGCATCAAAAATAGTTTTCACTTTAATATAAAAAAAATTCAGCATTGTATCCCAGCATCTCTCATGAGTCAGAGCTCATATTCAGATTAACTTTGCAACCATTACAAACAGCTGGATCTAAATAGTCAGAAATATTCCGTTTGACTGTACTATTGTCTTTCAAAAATATGACCGTATTACACTATCCCCAAGTTCAGAAGGCCATCAATACATATTCTCATGTATTGACCATAAGTGTTTTCCATGTACATGAGCCATTCAAACATGAAAATGCAATTGCAGGAGTTGAGCAGAAGCTACTCATGTGAAAGTCTACACCCCACTGCAGCATCCCACACTGAAGAGGTGACATTTCTAATGTGTGTTTCTTCCTTCTTAGCTGGGAAGGATTATCTGGGTTTGTTTTACAGCTCTGAGCATTATTAGTAGCAGTGGCATTCCTCTGAGATGGTATCACCACCTCCTTTGCCTAACTAACTGGATTAGTAGCTTTGCTGTATGAATCTTGTTTAAAAACCTGTGCCTCCACATGCTGGGACTAACCTGGATACTTTTTCTTACAGGACAGAGCTGCTGTTTCAACCTGGGAAATTGTGGAAGGAGGGCAGACAGAGCAGCAGACTGAGAAACAAAGCTGATCCCTCATCTTTGGACTTGTTTTTTATTTCAGCTGCTTTGGCAACTGTTGTAAATATTAATTCTTTCCAAATAAAGTCTGTGGAATAGAATGGCTAACAACAATAATCTGAGCAAAACTGTTGGCACTGCCATTGGGTAAATAAATACAGGCCTTGAAGCACACATGGCAGAAGCATCCAGAGTGCAGGGCAGCAAGGAAGCAGCTTGACTTACACCAACACTGGCATATTCTGCTGCAGAAATGTTCCAGCTCCAAGTGCTCTGTGATCTGCCTTTGCACCCTCTTCTGCTGAGCTGACACAGAATTAAACATAGCGAAGGAAGAGGCAAGAACTTAGGCCTGTCTTTGAGGGTGAAAACACTTAGTTTTGTGCCTGTTGGTTCAACAATTCTGTTCCTCTCAGACAGAGAAGTGGGGGACACTTTTAGCCTTGAAGTATTTCCTTATTGCAGTGGTGCTGGTTTGGTCCTGTGAGACCTTTACCTGTAATATGGAGGTATAGTTTGCTTTTGCACAGAATACACTGAGATTTCTCTAGCACTGGGAATGCAGCACACTCAGGATCTCTCCATCATAATTGGGAAGATAAAATTAGGATGCTTAGCTATTACCTGTTCAGTTACCTTTGCTTTTGCCATTGTTTGCATTAAAAACAGTCCCTGGCTGCTGTGGCTGTAGACAGAGGTGCAGAGGCCTCTCTTACCTGTGAGGTGACCTGTGTTCTAGGGCCTGAGTTGATATGGGGCTGGTACTTACCTAGGGGCACACTTTCTTTAAAGTGCCCATAGGCACTTTAATTTATGAAAAGATAAAAACCAAGCAGAACATGGCTTCATCTACAGGGCACTTCTGTGCATTGTACTTTCAAATTGTCTGTTCCAAAGGATAAAGGCTTTCTTTTCTACTGTTGGGAATAAAATATGTAGCTATTTTTCTGTTCCCTTTCTCCATTATTGGTACTTAGAGAAAAGATGGAGGTGTCCCTTCACCAGCACTGGGGCAGGTGCTTATTTGACACAGCTGGTACTGCACTCTGCTAGTGGCAGTGTTGTAGCAAACTAGAGTGAAAGGCGAGCAGGCAGCTCAGCTGTGGGAAATGTCATCAGCACACACCAAACAAAGTCCACACAGTCAATTTGCTATTATTTTTATTTCCTACCAAAAGAAACTGCTACATTTCCAGAATGTTTAAAAAATGTACCAATTTGTATACATTAGTGAGTAACAGAGTTACAACTTCTGTGTAGATTTAAAACCAACACGGCAGGTTGAAATCTGTACTGAGCTCTGTTAATTGATTGACTTCGCCTACAAATGCCATTTAGATTATAATACCACTGATGTTCTAAATACAAAAAAAAAAAAAAAAAGCCAGTAGCTGTTTTAAAATCAGTTTTAACTTGCTGATTTAATTTAAAAGTAGTCAGGCTTCTCAAATAGATTTAGGGGGAAAAAAAAAAAAAAAAAAAAAAAGCCAGTAGCTGTTTTAAAATCAGTTTTAACTTGCTGATTTAATTTAAAAGTAGTCAGGCTTCTCAAATAGATTTAGGGGGAAAAATAACAGTAGCTTAAGTTTCCCCAAAGATGCAGACAGTTTACAAAACTGCTTAAATTAAACACTAAAACCTCATCTCTTAAGAGTAGTCTGTGAACCCTCATAGACCAACATGAGCAAACATTTAAAAACCTATCTTAAAAATAGGTAACTGGTTTAGAAAGAAAAACAAAAATGCATCGGGGTGAGGTAGTAGTCACAGTGCATCCAGAAATATCAACTCTAAGGGCTGAAGGGAAATACTTGGAGCAGCTTTTCTGATTCCAGGTGCTTTCTGCAGGCAGCTATTGCAGGTATGAGAACACAGTCTGACTGGTCTGTGGGACATCACATGCCAACCTAGAGCTGGAGCCCTGCACAGGCGTGGTTGTGGTGAACAGGTAACATCTATTGCAATAACCAGATACGTTATGTGCTTGTTCTGTGCTTTAATGAGCATAAACACTTGGAGCTGGATTGGAGGCTCAAGGGCAGTACCCACTTAAGTGTTCTTGGCATGAACTTGTCCCCCTCTCCATAATGGTTTAGTCTCTACAAGCTTTGACTGAATCTCCAAAAATTTAACAAATCGTAGTGTGCAAAAATCCCACACAAGTTCCTCTTCATACCTAATGCTTACCTGCCCTGCCAACGTGCCAGATCAGTGTGGCCCTAACAGTGTCCTGTCTCGCAAAGATCAGACAAAAAGCCTCTGTGCTCTAAAAAAGTAAAAGTACCAAGTACTAAGTACTGCACTTGAAGCTCAGACACCAACCACCATTTTCTGTTCCTGCCTTTAACCTGCAGCATACAGCTGCCTGCACACTGCTACGACAGTACAGGTACATGCTGTGGGCTGCCTTCAACTCGTATTCCTGCTGGCTAATTACTATCCACCTATGGATCTGTGTGCTGGTCTTCTCTGAGCTCTAACCCAGCAGGCAACGGGAGTTTTAAAAGCACTTTACTCTTCCATGATCACTGAGAGTCTGACAGTTCTGCTGGGTATCACTGAGTTTCTTGCCCCACCTAGTACCTCTCCAAATGATAATTTCACAAATTTATCACATTGAGTTCCAGATGAGTCAAGACTAGATAAAGAAACAGAATTTTTATTTTTTTTTCAGGTAAGCCTAATTACTGTTTAATGAATTTTGCTGCTGAGATACCTACAGTATATCCTATTCTGCCACGGGGGGACCTTTTAAAAAACAACAAAATAAGACATTGCAGGAAGGGGTGCCTTGTCCAAATGAATGCTGCCTCTGGGACCAGGAATGGGAAAAGGCAACTAATTACATTCAAAATCTACAGCAACTCTCATGCACTCCCTTTCCAAAGAGGCTTATTTTTTGCTTCTTAATATACTAGCATGGCAAAAAACTGAAGTGCAATAGCTAATTCTAGACAGAGGTTCTAAGAATGACAACATGATAACCTTGGTGCAATCCAAGAAATTCAGTTGAGCTGGTGGAAGAATTTTATCTAAATATCAAGTGCATTTTTTTTGCTGTTCACACTTTAGTTATTGCTCAATAACTATCAAAAAGAACAGAGGAATACTTTCAGTTTAGTTTTATTATATTATAACAGATCTGCAACTACAGCTTATTTCAGCCAAAACATTTTTGTATTCCAAACTCTTAAAAAATATCTACATTAATCATATTTTTCTATTCTTAAAAATAAAAAAGATCTACCTAACATACCATTGTTGCTACAGCACTTGAAAGGGTGCATTACTTATGTAAATTCTACGGTACATGTAATTACTCTTGCAGTCACTGTTCTTCCTTTTCTTCTTCTCTGCTGCTTTGGCTTCAGGTTTCATAAAGTTTGCTGAAAGCTGTTCCAACTTCTGAAACCATGTCAGAGGCTGTCATTGAACGTCCGAATTTTTGAAAGGCTTGGTGGTTAGACTGCCTCGTAAGAGAGCAAGCTCCAAATGCAGCCACTAGAAAGGGATTTTGACTAAAAGGAAAAAAACAAAAAAACAACAACATTATCAAGATAATCCAAACACTCTTGTGCAATCCATAAGGTGGTGGACATCATCTTTGTACCCCTAAATGCCAGGAAAGCCTCTTAAGCAAACATCTGTTTCTCAGACTCACTGCAGAACATCTTTGCCTGAATTTTTTTTACCAAATACTTCCCTATCCGTGGCATAGCATGTGACTGACTCAGAAACCAGGGCCAAAGGACGCAAGAGGAAAACAGGCTTAAAAAGTGGGGAAGAAGGTGATCCATGTCTAGTTTTACTGATTTGATGCTTCATCCTTTCCTACAGAAGATCAAATATCACCTGGCAGCGTTTTAACTCCCTTTCCTCTCCATTTGCTGGGTAACTCCGTTTAGTTCTGTCTTGCAGGGGGTGAGGAAAGATGTGGGGATGCAGGCAAGAGATGATTTTTAACAGGGCCATAGTGACTGCTCCAGAGCCCTCACGATAGCAGCTTAAAAGCGGTACAGTGACCGCCATAGCCCACGACGGAAATTAGGCACTGCCTTAATGTCTCCTACATGTTTACAAACGGCCTAAGAGAGCGTACCCAGCCCCAGACCTCAAACACTGAACATCCCTTGGAGAAGCCAGCACAGTCTTGCCACCTCCAGAGCACCTTTTCACAGGCTGGGCCATGGGAGTCACTTTTGCTGCCTTACAACAGAAAGCAACTGCAGAATAGTTCAGCAGCCAGTGCTGCACTCCAGGTTCTGGCTGATTAAAATTCTCACAAAGCTCAGCCACAGCTGAGGCATCACTGCCTGTGAGTCACTAGGGACCTACTGACTCCTCTGCCAAGTGAGAGTTTTGTGAAGGATCCTGATGTAAAACACAGGCAAAGCAGGACATGAGTTTACAATTAGGTGTTACTTGAGGGGCAACTCCATATAACTCATCAAGGTGCAGGAGTATTTAAGCCACTCTGAGAGTCAATCCTGGATGCCCAAATACTGCTCTGAAACAAGAGCTGTGCACATGCTCCTGGGCTCAAGGCAGTTAAAACACTTGTTTCAAAATTCCACTCTGCACAGACCTGTTTTGAAACGACAGAACCAGGCACAAGCGTGGCAAGACTGGCTGGACTGCCTGCAGTGCAGTCTGCAAGCAGATGCCCTGACTCACTGAACCCAAGAAGCTCCTCCTCTCCTGAAACACATAAGGTAGACAGGATTGGTACAGCAGGTGTTTGTGAAGGGTCACCTTAACACCACCACAGGAGACACAATGTATTGCTGATGCCAATTATACTTTTCCTTCATTTATAAAATAAAGGAGTTTCTGAGCAAGCTGTTTGGAAAAGCCACAGGAGTTCAAGTCAGGAGAGCCTGGAGAACGTGTGCTGCCTTTGCAATTTAATACTGCTCTGTTGTACCCCAAACAAAAATGAAGTCACCCTTTTAGTGAATAAAACCAAAATTCCTCCGTTAGTGACAGCTGCAACTCTTCCATTTTTGGATTGCTATGTTAGATTTCAGAACTTTAAAGTCTGGTTCAGTTGGTCCCTCATTTCTCCTGGGGCACCTACTGCAGTGCCCTTGTGCTAAAACAGACTAGTTAACTCCCATGAACATCTAATTGTGTGCATCTGCATGCAGCATCCAAAACGACAACAAAAGATTTCCACTCCTCAAACTTTCATAGCTCATTACTTATAGAGAAGAGGGACTGTAACTCCCTGACTGCTTTTATCAAGGTTCCTTTCAACTTCATTTAAAGCAGCTGCTTTCACAGAAAGAGTACATGACTATATGGACCAACTAGTCAGACATGAATTGATGTAATTTAACAAAAAGCCAACAGTCAGCTACATGGCTGCTTTATGCACGAATAAACTGGACTGCCGTTTGGCCTTTAAAAGAGTTACACTCTTTGAAACAGTATTTTATTTGCAAGTTTCAACTTACCTGCCCCACTGAATTACTTAGGCACAATGCAGAAGGATTCACCAAATTACAAAAACAAAGCCAAATGACATGTTTTTTGAATTACAGAGATGCTACTACCAGTGACTACCACTTACTTATTCTTCGTACTTTCAGCCTTACATTCAATTGTTTTGAAAACGTGTATCTCATACATAAATGTCCTTGGGAATAGATCCAGATTCATGCTCTTTTTCTGCCTCAGATTTGGGGATGTTAGATTACTGAAGGGTTTGTCTTATTAAATTATTACTATGTAGACTGCTCTAGAACATACATTTTTTAAAAGTACGTGGATATCTCTGTACCAACGACTCTGATTTCATTTGGAAATTTATACAGCGGGTCTACAACAGTTGCCACAGCAGAACACAAACTCATAACAATTAAGTTAATTATTAGTATTCATACCCATTTGTTTTTTCAGCTCCAGCAACAAATGCCCAGTGTGCTAAGACTCCAAGAGAACCAGAAAGAAGGTCCCCCTGTCCACCACATCTCCGGCTGCTTCCTTCATGACTGCATACGAGTACTACAAACAGACAAACATAAAACAAAGTCAGGTGCTTTTTTCCTTCCATTTACAATGACACCACTGCAGCTGCAAGGGTTATTAATCTCTGAGGGACACAGCAATGAACAGGTGAGAGACTAATGAGAGACAGCAGCACAGACTGAAGTACACTATTCTTAAAAAAGAAAAATTATTGCATCAACATTTTTAAAAATACTTTTCTGATTACCTTTTAATACTTTACAAATAACATCACACAATATACACACTTTTTCCACTTCACTCAGCCTGCACAGATGAGTTTAGTGATTCATGTGCCATGATGAGCCATTACCCAAACTGGACCAGGTCCCTCCACAAAGCCATTGCGTAAATGCAATCCTTCAGAGTCTCTGACCTTCAGAGTTTGTGAATGTAAACCAAGGCATTTCACAAAGAGCAAATGCAAAACAGAACTAAAATCTCAAATCTTCTACCATGCCCATCACAAAGGTATTTTACTGAAAACAGCCTTTTCCTCAGGCTTTGTAAAAACCATATGCAAGACAGATTTGTTTTTTCTGCCAATCAAGTGTCCTCAGCATCCATGTATGTTTCTGTCAGCAGTGTCACTGTGGATAGGCTCTGTCAGGTTATCAGATGTTACATTTCTATTTTAAATATACAAAGGACCTTGGTCAAACTGATCTCTTTGTGGAGCTTTAACTATGAAGAAGATGCAAGTGGTTTCACTACATTTAACTCCTTTGTTCTCCACTCTTAACAAGCCCAGGCAGGAAGCCTAAAGGATACCTAAGGCACACAAAAAGAAAACAGCATCGATTCTGCTCCCCTTCTCCAAACTCTCTTGTGTACCTACCCTTAGCTTTTCTTCTTGCTTAGCTCTGAAAAAAAAAAAACAGGAGAAACTTGTTTTCCTCTCCTAGGAGAACGGAAGAGCTGGCAGAATCACCAGTGGCCAAGTAGTGATCCTTAGCATCTCCAGCCAGCTACTGCAGAGCTACTCAGGTTCAGGACTGTGTACACAACTGTTTGTGTGCTCCTGAGCACACCAAATACACAAGCAAAGTATAAAGCAAGACATTGCTTGGAGAACAGCTCTTACCCCAAGTCACCTGGGCTGGCTTTCTCCACGGTGTATAAACAGAGCAGCCCAGGTGGTTTAGAGGGAGTAGTACCCATATTTTTCAAATGCAATTTTTCTCTTATAAACTCATGGGAAAAATCTGAACGAAACTTAAGGACTTGCAGGTAAATCTTCTTAAATAGCAAGCAGTAAAAAACTACATAATGCCAATAAACCCCTTCCAGTCCATTAGCATAGTTAATTTCTGGAACAGCAAAGAATTGTACTTCACTTCCATTTCCTACCAATTCTTCCAGCAATAATTGCTGGGCTTGTGAGGCCAGGCAGTTGTGTGTGTTTGCTGCCACTGAGAGGGCAAAGATTCATTAGTCACCACGAACACAACGACACCACTGCAGCGTTGCCAGCAGTTCATTTTCCCAATCACTTTTCTCCCCTTCCCCCTCCCCCCTCTCAAATTAAGATTCTAGATGTGTTTCTCAGTGAGCAGTAGCTAATGTCAAATTTCACAAGTTAAATGCCCTTCTGAGTTAGCTATCTGAAGAAGGTATGCCCTTTTAGGTGCGTGGCTTATTCTTATTTTTATTTTAAATACAGTGCTTTGGAGAAATTACCTCTAATTCTGCTACTTTGAAGACGCTATCTCACAGGATTTTCACTTTGAGGGCTTGAACTCCTGGCAGGAGGCAGGATGGAAATCCTCCGTTCAAAAGCTTTGGGGCCTTCTGACTGACAGCTGAGCACAAGCCCCTGCTTATTAGCTGTATGTCACCATCTGCCACTATTCTGTAGCCCCACAACCTTCCAGTCATTTTTGAGCTGTACAGGAAAGCAAGCTCTCCTCAAACTAGGCCAATTATAATACTCTGTTAAAAAAAAAAAAAAGTGGTCTTTTGTTTGTGGTTTTAAAAAAGTAAGTCTCAAATATGTGCAGACTACCTCACAGGCAACAACAAAAGCAGACCTTTGTACTCTGCACAGAGATGCTGGAAAACAAATCCATGGAATACCTTCAGAGAAGCAGAACTACAGGAAATTCACTTGAATGAGGAGGGAAAAGTATAACGCTTCAGCAATTCTTTGAGCAGAAGCTCAGCTGATCACAGAATATCTCAAAATAAAAGGACGATGAACATTACAACAGGCAATAGGAAAGGATTTAAAAATTCCTCTGAATTACAGTCACTATTAAAAGCTTTTAAAACAAAAGAAGGAATCCCAACTACCATCAAGACAAACTGGCATACTGCCAAATCAGCATAGGACAAGGTCTTCTGGATGGCTTTTCCCAGCCTTCTCTTAGAAAAATAAAATAAACTGCTGTCTTCCCACTCCCCCAGTGCAACATCCCCCACTAAATGTCTGTGCCCTGCTGTGAAGTCATCTCCAGCAGTTCTTTAAGGACCAGGGGACTGATGTCCTTATGTTGCACTGAGCAGTGACAACCAGTGGCAAAGTTATAAGACCTCGATTAGACGGACATGACTGAACAGACAGTGATGATGCTGAGAAGGTGGGCAGTTCTATTCCCTGGAGATATGCGGAATTATGTATTTACAGGAGGATGAAGCAATTTTTGGTCCATTGCTCAGTGAGGCTGCAGCACATTCAACTAGGGACGGACATGTACATCAGAAAACCTAGAAAACATGGTTCTTGGAACAGCTGAGGAGACCAAGATGACTGGACACAGGACAAAAAGGAAACTCCAAAGACTAAAATCACCACAATCATCACGTGTCGATTTTGAAAGGCAACAACCAAGGCCATTTCAGGTCAAGTAGTCAGACACCAGTCCGATCCAAATAATGGAGAGTTTCAGCTATAATTCAACTGACAGACCGTAAGAGAGAGAAACACAAAATTAATGTTGGTCAAGGTGGCTTGGGTGTTGGGACAGGGTGTCTTGTTTTGTTTTCTAATAGGTCTGGGCAACCAAATCTGATGTCATTATTTCTCAGGGTGATGAATCAAAAAAACCCACCTCAGTATAAGTAACAGTCAGTTTTTTAATGAAAACTTTTTTATGCTAAGTAACTTTGCAGAAAAAAAAAATACCCAGCTCCCCAGCACTTATCCATGCAACGCACACATACTATCATAAGAAAAGGCTAGATGAAATAAAAATGTCATGAGTGAAGAAACGCCTCCATGAAGTATGGCAAGGAGATCTGCTAGAGTCAGAACAACCACAGTTCTATTCAATAGTTTCAACGCAGTCCCAGTGAGTTAATAGCACATAAATACTGCCAGAGCTTTAGGCAGCAAATACAACACAATATCCCTCACATATAGTCACATGGATTTCTTGTGTACTTAATTCCATGGAAATAATTTGTAATGAAATATGAATGCAAGAGAAACAAAAAATGGCAGGCTGTCATACTGACAGAATATTGGAAAGTAGAAATTCAAGAGTTTTAGGCTCCAAACAATTCAAAACTCTGCCCCAGACCTGGGCAACTATGGCCAAGTCATTTAGTAGCTCTATGTTTAATGTATTTCAGGCCATAAAATAAGATATCATCACTCCCTTTTCAGCACTCCTTGAAGATATGATACGCGTTAGAATTTGGGAAAGCATTCAGACCACAATGTCACACTTAACTGTACCACTGCCAAATTTTAAGCTGAAAGAACTCCCAGCCCAAAATCTGCTGGCAGATCAAAGTCCAGAAGAATGACCTATTTATGGGTATTGTATGCTTAACTTAAAAAAAAACCAAACCAAACCAAAAACCAGCAGTCTGTTATGTAACTGAAAATAGCTGTCCTCTCTTTGAAGGAAAAAAATCAGAATGTAGCAGTTTCGCTGAGCTCAAACACTGCAAGTTAACTGGGAAGCACAAATTTTGTGCTGTACACAGGCAGCACCATTTACAATGCCAGCTCCTAGATACATCACACTCAGAAAACAAAAGTAGAATAAAAAGTCATGTATGTCTGCTTGTTCCTGATTCACCATGTTCACACAGTAGTGAAAAAAACCATCCCAGAGATTAATTTCTTTTACATTTGTATTTAGAACACAACATGTGAAATATGAGATAGCTAGTTACAGCTAAACACGTAGTACTGATGATGGTAAAGAAGGCTAAAGAACCTGTGAAACATCACATTTACTGGGACTGCAGACTGAAAGACAGCCCAGAGATTAAAATTTAACTCCTGAATCTCAGACATCCTGAACAATTCTTTGCACTTGCTTTCCTCTTAGAGAGAAGGAGTTTCACGCTCACCCTAATGTGCTCAGGAATCCATGTATGAAACATGCAGCCATTCTGACTTCTGCTACGACCCAACTGGATTAATCAGCTAACATGAGCCACCCTACGCAACAAACGCATTCTAGTTTAATTAAAAGGCTTAAGATTTCAATTTTCTATGCAAAATAATGTAGCTATCAAGGATCATTTTGCTCCATCAAATGCAAGATTCTGATTTAGACTATTTATGAGATTTTGAGTAAAATCCCAATATACATCTCTGACCTGACATATACTTACACTAGTAAGAAATTTATCTTTTTCCTTTTGCAAGTTACTTCACAAAAGCAGATAGCTGGAGATTGTGGAGTCCCAGAAACATGTCCCAGAGTGCATACAGACAGGGAAACCAAGTTTAATGACTTTGGCTGGAAAAATAACTCAACTGATGTGGAAAATGTAAGTTGGCTTTTATATAAAGGGTGCTTATACTTTTATATTCCCTAATCACATTTTTAAAACTTAGGTAAGTCCTTGAATGCGAGATACCAGGCAATGTAAGTTAAAAGAAAATGACCCAAATTTTATATTAGTTTTCTTGGACAGGCACAGGAGCCAGGGGATAATCATGATGACAGGTGAGCAGTGCCAGGGAGATGGCAGGGTGGGCTGCATGGGCAGTAGAGTGCACAGTGGCACAATGGACAGGAATTGTGACCTCCCTGTTTTGCTCACTCTGCAGAAGCAGGACTGGAGATGAAGGTGCTGCCTCTTAGTTAAAAATTCAGGCAAGATTTGCTCAGCAGCTGTGAGTGAGCCCCAGAGTGACAAGCACTGAATAGCTTCCTTTACGGCTGTATAGGGAGATGAATGTCAGAAATTAGAAGTACTGCTTGAGGAGTTAGGGCAAGAGTTGGCTTTTTACCCCACAGTCAGTAATCAGTATAACCTCTTGCGTGCTTCTTTGCTTCTCTTGACCATAGTCACAGCTGGGCAACTGGAGAGAAACTGTATTTGGCTATTGACTTCAGGTAAAAATAGTCACAGGCAGTAGCAGGATGGTTACCCATAAAGCCTGCCTCTTGGAAGGAAAGAGGGCTAAACAAAGGTGCTGGGGAAAATACAGAGGAACTCATTATAATGTTTAAAAATCAAAATCCAAATCCTCTACTTCAAGGACCTAACCAAATTTTAAACATGTTAGGAACTAAGACTGGTATAACCACACTTTATTATTGACCAGTTCTCCAAAGAATAATAAAATAATAACCTTAGAGAGCTGTGCCATAGCGAATAAAAGCTGACTTACCTTTTACCCACAGGCTGAGTACTCATTCCTACCCTGGTCAGTGATGGCACTGATATCACCTACCAAGAGCATGGTGAAGCTCATCTTTGTAGAGCAGGGAATCAACAACTGTAGACCAAGCTATAATGTGAAATTGCAAAAGGAAAGAGAAAAAGAGTATATAAAACTTAATTTAAAATCTTTGTTGATTACGTTTACAGGGCAGTTGGCAGCTCATGACTGAAATGAAGACAAATTATAGAAAAACCTCCTTTATAGTGGAGGACTACTACTACTTTCACAGAGGCTATGTATGTGATTCGGTACTGACTTTGAGGTCGTAAGGAACCACCTGTACCAGCTAATCTGATCTGCAAAAACAAACCTCAAAGGTGTCCAGACACTTCACAGTATGGCAATCTGCCAAAGTCCCTGGCATGTTACTGTAGTAGCTAATAAAATCTGCCTTTGAATTCATTAAGCCTCAGCTCCCAAACAGAATTTATTGAGCCTCTCTGCTTAGATTTCGAAGCTATTTGCTGATAGTAATCCTTCACCAACACCTGTACTTCCAGCTTATACCAAATCACCTGGTAACCCTTTTTGTCTTCAGCTAACAGAAATAAGTTGTCTACTGAATTTCCTACAGACTCATGAACAAAAGTACTGTGAAAATAACCACCACAATCACTCCATCCTACAAGGTATTCACCAAGCCAATCTTCCCTACTGCAAAATTTGGCACCCTCAAAAAGCCTTCCTTCCAGAATAGCCAAGCACAAAACACTAAAGTTACATAGTAAAGTTTGCAATTTCTCAAATTCTGGTTTTCCTGGAGAGCATTGAGACTCACTTTTCCCCCCTTACTCCCTTTTTTTTTTTACCCAGAAAGCATGCATGTAGTGTATTCCTAAAGGAGAAAGTTAAAAAGTGATATATGAAAACTAAAGTGTCAGTATGCTAAGCACAGGAGCTCAAGCAGAAAATGCCTGAAAATAGGCACGCCTTAATCACTACAAAGGGATGATGACATGATAAATAAAGAGGAGTACACAGATCTTTTCATAATGTTTGTGCTCAGAGGACATTGGCCTGATCCAATCATCTGGATTTCCCTCACACAGGAATCAAGATGCATGTTGTCTTAGCTGAAAAAAATGACATCAAATCATAAGAAGAGACAGATGAAAAAAGTTAAGACCAAAAAACCTGGGAGAGAGTTGAAGGTCAGTGACAACATATTCCATGTTGTGGCACAGAGCACACAGTAGAATCTCCTTTCTTAATGTAATTTTGCATTTGAGAAGCTTTAAAAAAAATGACTGACAGACCAGACCCAAAGAACATTCTTGTTAAAAGGAAGCTGAAGTCTATAATTCCTGAAGAATTCTCAGGAACCTTCTTGCAAGTCATGCAAACTCTAAAAACAGTTTTTGTAGCAGACATTCTAACCTGCATTAAACCTGATAATTGCTTTCTTACAGCTCAGTAATGCTGCCTGTAATGTCTATAATTCAGGAGACAAAGCATCAGTGACGGAAACAAGGTAAGAACAAGAAAGCAGCCTATAGCTGGACATCAATCAACAGCTATAAAGGCACAGAACTGGTTTTATTTCAAATCAAAAGCCACTTCACTAATAGAAAAAAATATCAGAACACAACAGAGACAAAAATCAAGGTGGGGTAAAAAAATAAAGCCAATGAAAAACCCCCAAACCACACAAGACATACATCAAACTTGTGCCACATGTGAATATTCAAAATTGAAACTGTAAAGAGTTTCAGTTGTTTCCTGTTTCTTTGAATCCTGCATGATAAGAGACATTAGAGACAGCGACCTTTCTCTCCAGAAATGGGGGGGCAGGGGGAGTACACTTATTTCAAGAATAACAGCTCAAAAGGGGAGCAGACATATACTAGGCAATGTGTTCAATCTAAAGCGCTCACTGGTTTTCTCAACATTCATAAGAAAGCAACATTCCTGTATAAAAAGACATTGTTGACATAAAAGCAGAAAAAGAAGACAACTACAGCACTCTAAAGCTCTCTAGCTGGCATAAACTGGAGTCAACACATTTATCCTCTGGCGGTGTTCACCTTCCCTTAAGCCTGGCCAGACCATCCAAGGCTACAAATCAAGGTTGCCATGGGTGCAAATATGACAGCAGACTTCCTGTGGGGCAACTTGGAAGGACCTAAGTCCTTTACCACATGGGTGTAACTACATTGCTTCCAGGTACCAGTTGTTTCACAGTCTGCTACAGTATCTGCACTAATGGGGTATGTGGAAGGTGGCTCTGCACAAACCAGTTGTCACTTTACATCTGTTTTTCTGTTACAAAATACTCCCATGGCTCCCAATAATGAAAAATTGACTGTATATACAAAACAGTTCTGAAGCAGCATAAACATTTATCAGAGATTAGCATTTAAGTAATTAGAAGCAGAGCTGCTGCTTGTTATGTATTTGAAATAAGACCATGCAGTCAAAATGTGATGAAGGTACTTGTGAATTAATTTTATACTGATAACAGTAAATGATCAGCATAAAAAGCATCAGACAGGCAGCTAATTTTATTAAGTATACTTTAACCATATTAGTAAGCGACAAATTTCTCAATACCTGTGTAATGTAAAACATAAGTTACAATCATTTAAATGAGGAATAAAATCAGCAACTTTTTTCAGTAAATGAGTTAAATTGCACTCTTAAAATATCAATTTACACAAATCATCTAAAGGTGATCTGCAAAGGCAGCCATCCCTCCATTTCAATCTTCAGAGGAATACAACCAATTGCTATATAGTCCAACCACTGGACTGCGACTGAAAGCGAACAAAATGAAACAATCACATTACTCAAAGCAAAAGGCTTCACTTACCTTTCTCTCCATCTGAAATAAGATCTCTTTCTCCCTTTTGAACAACTGTCAGGTTCCCCATGGCTTGGCTGAGTCTTAATACACATCCATGATGATCACTACTGTCTACGGGGTCTCTAAGCTACAACACAAGAATTCCATACACAGTACATATTTTGCTACTAGAACAACACATTCTAACACACTCTACTTCAGCATATGCATGGGGGGAAAAAGAAAGGCAGCATCATCAGTCTTTCCAAGTATTTTTTCTTATACCCATTGCAATGCTAAAAGTTGCATGAGAATGGGTCTTCTTTAAAAAAAGGGCTCTGTTTAAGAATATGCATTGTTGTGGCAATTATCCCATGGCATAAAAACCCAGAGAGTGCTTCCCCCACATATAAGAAACAGCACATAATATTTGAGCCAGCAGTAAGTTATTTATTTTTAAGGACTAAAAGATTAAACTTAAATATCAAAAAGGAAAACAGCTCACCATGGCTTCATACAGCCTACTGAACTCCATATAGTTTGGAGTAAGAATAGCTCGCTGGTAGCCTTGAATAAGAGAAGGTTGCTGGGAAATGAGCCACAGTCCATCCTGCAAAGCACAGTAAGAAGAACATTTACTGAACAGATTCTTAAATGTCACACCACTGACTGAAATCAGGAAAATACTTACTGCATCAATAATGATAGGAATTCCTTTCACTTTCGATTTCTCTATAATACCCTGCAAAAAATGCAGATAATTTTAAGATGCTTGCTAATTTAAATCTCATAAGATCCAAACCAAATTCATACAATAAATCTGACCATATAAGTTGTTCTTACAAACTGACAGAAAAAAATATTCTGCAAACTAATATAAGACATTTTCATATCAGCTAGTAATTTTACAGTCATGGTGTTCTCTCCCTGGTTCAAGTATAAGTGTCCACAGAGTTGATTTGTATTGGGTTTGAGGGGCAAGGTTTTGGGGGCCACAGGGGTGGCTTCTCTTGAGAAGCTGCCAGAAGATTCCCCCATGTCTGACAGAGCCAATGCCAGCTGGCTCCAAGACAGACCTGCCACTGGCCAAGGCAGAGCCTGTCAGTGACAGGGGATAACATATTTAAAATGAGGAAAAAGTTACTGTGCTGAAGCAATTGCAGCCACAGAAGAGAGAGTGAGAGTATGTGAGAGCTACAGCCCTCTAGACACCCAGGTCAGTGAAGAAGGAGTGGAAGGAGGTGCTCCAGGCTCTGAAGCAGAGCCTGCAGCCTGTGGTGTAGACTGTGGTGAGGCACCTGTGCCCCTGCAGCTCATGGAAGTCCATGGTGGAGCAGAGATCCACCTGCAGCCCATGGAGGACCCCACACCTGGGCAGGTGGACGCCCAAAGGAAGCTGTCACCTCATGGGAAGCCCACACTGGAGCAGGCTCCTGGCAGGACCTGTGGCCCCATGCAGAGAGCAGCCCACACTGGAGTAGTGTGTTCCTGAAGGACTGCACTCCATGGGAAGGACCTATGCTGGAGCAGTTTGTGAAGAACTGCAGTCCATGGGAAGTCTGCTGGATAAGTTCATGGAGGACTGTCTCCCGTGGGAGGGACCACATGCTGGAGCAGAGGAAGAGTGTGGAATCCTCACCCTGAGCAGGAAGGAGCAGCAGAGACAACACGTGATGAACTGACTGCAGCCTCCATTCCCTACCCCCCTGTACCACTGAGAGGGGGGAGGAAGAGAATTTTTGAGTTAAGCTAAGTTTGGGAAGAAGGGAGGGGTGGAGGTAAGGTGTTTTTACCATTTGGTTTTATTTCTTGTTATCCTACTCTGACTTAATTTGTAATAAAATTCAATTAACTTCCCCAAGCTGAGTCTGGTTCGCCCTTGATGGTGATCTCTTCTGTCCTTATCTCGACCCACCAGCCTTCTGTTATATATTCTTCTGCCTGTCCAGCTGAGGAGGGGAGTGATAAAGAAGCTTTGGTGGGCACCTGGCATTCAGACAGGATTAACTCACCACAATATGCAAACAAGCAAGCAATCTCACTCACCCTCCCTGCTGTAGGAGGCATGTAATGCCAATGTAAGTCACACATAGTAAACATACACCTCCAATTAAAAAACAAAAAAAAAAGAAAAATCCCAGTGAGTACTGCCATGACAGAAATCTACCAGTAACTGTAATAGTAACTTCAGTTGCTTTTCGGATGACAGCTCCATTGCAGTATTTGAGTTAACGTACAAACAAATATCCAAGAAAAGCAGGGCGTATTACGCCATTTCACACCTGGTCCTGGAGGTTTTATGCTTTGAAAGCAAAACCAAGGTGGCCAAGACAACCATTTGTAAAAGTGTTTTCTTCAGCAAGCAGTATCTCCTAGTAGACTGTCTGCCCCTCTGTCTTCTAATCCAGCAGCAGCAACTGTTCCACAAGCTTTTTAATGAGCAATGGCCAACAGTCAAGTTTTTTCAGTGTTGGCCATTACCAACTCGTCTTTGAAGCTGGAGGGTTTATCTTTTTCCTGTATAAGATAATAGAGGATGGTCTCCATCCAAAAGTTTAATTATTTTTGAATATTATTAAGCTCTTCAGATTAGCTATCATATGGCACACTGAGCTTCACAGGTTAGCAAGACATGATGTAAGGAATAAGGAAGCAGTCTTTAATTAATGTTCAGGGTATTGAACATTAATTAAATATCTGTTCTTGTATTGTGGTAAAAATAAACACTGCCCACCTTGCTTCCTGTAAATAATTAATTATTAAATATGACATATACATATCCTCACAAACTTATTACTACCTCATTCTGATTTTTCCAATACCAGTAGAAATACGTCCCCCCTGAAATAAGGCTGTGGATCCAACAACCAGGTTTATGTTTTGCTGTTTGTATTTTCCTTGTATAAATGAATGCTATACATCCAACAGCCCAATTATTTTTGAACCATACTAAGCTCTTCTGATTAGATATCATATGGCACTGAGACCCAGAGCTCAAGAAGATCATCCTCCCACAATTTTTGAAGATACAAATACCATTTACTGCAACCTTGTTTTCCAACTAGTTATAATCAGAATATTTTTGTACATTAGCAACTTTACCGAACTCCTTCAGTACACTTAAAATGATTACTGCTCCACTGCCCACTAATACGAATCACCAGTTTATTTTAGTATGTCAATGTTAGTAAGCCAGTCTTTCACAATACTTCATCTTCTAAAACTAAAAAAGATTTCCCCAACAGATTCTGTAAGGAAGTATGAAGGAATATACTCAATCTTAGAAGTCCTTATCCTTCCAAACTACTCTCTTAAAAGCATTATGAGCAATCTACAGAATTAATTTTGCCAAAGTTCTGTTCCCAAAGCAGTTACAGTTTGGGAGTTGCTATTATTTTTTGGCCCCTTTTCACGTTTCCGCATAACTGTCATCTTGACTACTGCTTAGAATTTCTCTCTCCCTGTCTTTCTTTCTCTCTCACACACAACAGACTAAATAAAGAATCCTGAAGATCCATTGTCTAACAAAAAAATGTATGTATAAGATATAAAAAAGTGGTAGTTAGAAAGCATGACAATATATGTACAGGTAAATAGCATCTGGAAGACAGATCACTGGTACACTCCAAAGAAATAACACATTTTTTCCTAATAATGTTTTGAGTTCCTACCTCTCTAGCACATCCTCCTCAATCCTGAAAGATTTGACCTCTACTCTGAAATTTCACCTTGCTAAGTAAAATCTACTGGCCAAGCAACTTTTATTTTGTAGCAAGTCTCTGAGGTATCAGTTTCTAATCTAACATACTGAATGAACTTTGCTTTTTCTTTCTCTCCTTTATCTATCAGGAGACACAAAGTCCTTTGTCTTATTTAGAAAGCTCATTTTTGATCAAAAAATCCCCAAACAATACAAAAACCTACCAAAACCAAAACCCTACCCCAATCATTTTCCTTTCCTCTTCATTCCTTAAACCTAGACAGAAACTGCTTGGAGACAGACGAGGAACCTCCTAGAGGAAGTTCTATGGATGGAAGAGGTAGTTTGGAAACCATAACAAAACAGTAACAAAGATAAGGGAACCCCCATAAGACAGCCACATGTTTGAAGGACACAACATTCATGGGACAATCTCTGTTTCCTATTGATTGTGGACATGACCCATCTCAACTGCTGCTATTTAAAAAGGTCAAATGGCTCACCACTGGAGAGCAGCTCATCCCATGGAGCTTAGACTTAGACTGGGATGAATGGCCAACACACATACATGTCTCTCCTCACCTATCACAGAAGGTACAGAAACACTTTACTTTTTTATTTTTAGACACCAAGAATTAAGAGAGATGAGGCCTACTTTTAAACATTCTATTACTGCAGATACTGTATTAAAAAAAATGCTTGCATTAAGAGGAGTTTTCAGCAACAATGGCAACATCTACTATGCAGAATATTTTTGTTCCTGGAAGTAAAAATCCATTTTGAGCTGAATTTGTACCATGATATTTGGCATGGAGTGTTCTGGTTAATGCTTGTGTTAACTACACAGTTAATACAGCTCAGACTAACTCTACTTTCACATCACAGCCTATTTAACAGTTTTTGATAGAATTCTACATATAAGCAAAAACCATCTGTTCAGTTTTACCCAATGTGACAATTATTTATATGGGAAAGGATTTAGAAGAGAACATTACCCATTAAAAATACTAAGAAATGTTACTAAGACAAAAGCTGAAATCCAAACACCAATGACAAGTGAACAGCAAAACATACAGATATCAATGATAAACCCAAGACATCACCCCTTCCCTTCAAACAGCATTTTGAATACTAAGATTTTGAAGATTCTAGCTCCAAGATATCCCAGTGGACAATCTTTCTATGGACAGAATGTATTCTACTACAACAGTGGTGGTTCAGCTTGGTGTAGACCAAAGCAGGTTTATTTTATTCCTAATTGCTCAAGTACATCCAAAAATGAAGGATTGGACTCACAGGGCAACCTTGGCATTAGTCACAAAGCAGAGACAACAATGAGGAGGAGGAAAAGGATGATACATGGTTGTCATCCAATCTTATGACCTACAGCCACACTGGTTAGCTAAGATATCAAAGACTGAAATTTGAATCCTTCCACTGCAATTCACAGCCAGGCCCAAAATTCAGTCTCCTACCTTTCATACAGAGTCCTAATAATGGGGGTTTGGGCAACCTCATTCTAGATATATTCTGCTTTGTATGAGTTGCCTAAATACTTGGTAGCTCTCTGAAACAGTGATTCTACATCTGCATGAGAAAAGGGAAAGAGGCATCACTCCACTCTTACTAAAATCAGTGATGACAAACTGCATTAGAAGGCTGCAGGACTCATGCTAGAACAAATCTGTAAGAGGAGCTTCCTCTCCTAATAACTGAAGGTCAAATTTGAAGCTTCTATCCTCGTTAAACCCAAGAGGAAATTACCTGGGATTCACATATTTCATCTCATGAAGATGCTGTATGGGACAACCTCTCACACAGTTATCATTGTTACCAGCACCAAATACTTGACATTTAGGAATGCCCAAAATAGTATTTCAGTGATGGCAGTTTTTGGTGGAGGCAGTTGAGGGGAGGAAAGCCAGAAAAAGTAAAATTAACTTGAATCTACTCCCACTTTACTGTTGACATATACAATTTCCTGAAAAATTCTGTTCTTTGACTGGTTATCCAGGAGTTGGATGCAAGCAACATACTCAGTA